CGTGAGGTCTCTATACTAGGTCCTTTAGTTCTATATTAACCTATCGTACTGCCTCGCCCTTTATCTATATATTAAAGTCTTTGCACTACCGGACTGGGTTAGCTCTGCTATTAACCTAATCCTATTGCCGCTTAAATCGATCCTACTAACGCTCTGCGTCACCCTTAACTTCTTCGCCGACAAACATACTAACTAGCTCTAAGCTAGCTACGCCGGTCGCTATATTTAGTGCTAGTAGCGGAGGAACTAGTAGACTTCCTAGTAGTAATAGTATTAATAAGCGTAACGATAATGTTAATAATCCGGATAAAGAAGGAGGTCTGCTGCCTTGTCTCTAGGGAGAGTTAGGTAGCGAATACGGCGGTGTATATATCTTAGTATTAGCGTAAGACCTAGAAGAACGCCGAGAGCCACTTCTAGATAAGGGATAAGACCGTAGTAATTGCGGACGCCCCCTTTCACTTAGCTCTTTATACTAGTGTAATAGGAACTTTCTAGTACCTACGAGGTCCCCGAGTGCTTCCTTTAGTTGTCCTATGTAACCCTCCGAGAGTAATCTCTACCGTGCTAATCGCTAACGCCTCTGAAATTCCCACTCCCACTTCTTCTTATCGCAACTGCGTAGGTACTTATAGTAATTTCGTGCTGTTCTATAGACCTGTCGAAACTTGATGTGCCCTATACTGCGAGATTAGCGATGTAGATTAAGCCTTAGGAGAATTCTATTAACCTCCTTGTCGCTATAAATCTACTCCTTTCCGCCGGCCTGTTTCTATAGTAATAGAGAGTTTGCTAAGGTTCTAGACGAGACCTTTGATGCTTTTAATATTAGGCTTTGTCGATAGATAGTCCGCTCAATGTCCTCTTCGTTCTAATCTCTCTTACTGCTCGTTCGATAAGGTATTTCCGTAGGATTACCCTAACTATAAAATCCTTTGAAGTTGGCAATCTTCTTAGCTAATTCCGGGCTCTTAAGATCCTAACTAGCACGCTTCTTCTATACGACCTTCTGCGTGCCTTTAATGTAGTTCTACCTATTTCTGCCTTCCTCGGGCATATATAACCTGCTTAAGCCTCCTGTCGGAGCGGGTCGTTCTCGACGTATCGGGCTCCTCGGTATACTACTACCGAATACGGGTAGGCTCGGTAGGTGATTTCCGCTTACGTAAAGCCGCTGTCTACGCTAATATAGGGCTTCCTATATATCTCGTGCCTTCGGTAGGGGAAATTCTAACATATACGTATACTATTGAAGCTGTACTCGTGTCTTCTGTAAATAATACTACAGGGCGATGCGTACGCCCGGTCGATACTGTTGCTATAAGATGCTAATGCTAAATAATGTTCAATATGCTGTTACTGTTAATACTATTACTAATGCTATAAATGCTGTATTCTAACGCCGTATTCTGATGCTGTATCATCTCGTTTTCTCGCTTAAACTGTATGCACTAAACGCCTGTCGCTATGCCTTAAAACTGCCTAAATATGTCGCTGCCGCTGCACCTGCTATTCTATGCCGGTAACTATTGCACTTTTGTGCCCCTTGCTGCTCGCTAGTAGAAGTGTGATAGCAACTGTATATTCGATAGGTACGTAGAGAGGTAGAAGTTCTAAGTACGGAAGGGGGCTCTCGTAGCATGCTAAGTCCGCTTTGTCGATGCCTTAGGCTCTAACTCTCTAACCAATATAGATATATATCCTTAGGGCTCCCTAGTTGTAGATAATTAGGTAGTATCTTAGGTCTTTAACTATTGCTAGTCTCTTTATATATAGGTTAAGCTAGGGCTCTTAGATTGCAATAATGTAATGTTCTTTTAGGTTTAGTTCTTAAAGGAAGCTCCTCTATACCTTGTCTTTGCTCTTATTAATATTGTACTGTATAATGTTTAGTAATATTGCAATGTTTATTAGGTTTCATCTATATTATTTCCCTATAAGTTTTCCTTTAGTCTTCCCTTACTTTAGACTAATATTTGACTAAGCTTTGTCTGCCCTGCTTCCTTTCCTACAATATTAAGGTATCTTAGTCTCCCTAGTTGCTAGTGACTCTCTTATACTAGTAAGGCCCTAAATATGAACCTATTATCTTGTCTAGACCTCTTTTATAGCACTTAGCTAGGTTGCTTCTATACCTAGCTGCCCTAGCTTATTATATATCTTTTTGGTGTATTAATTCTGGCTTCCTTTGCCTTCCTAGCTGCCTATATTCTTACTAGGCATTCCTTCGCCTAAGAGGGGTGTCTTTTAGTGTAGTATATATATCTTGCCTCTCCCTTATATGCTTTACATTCTTTAACCTAGTAATCCCCTACGTAATAGGAGCAGGTATTAGTTGTCTTTATGCATTTAGCTGCTAAGTGTCTATAGTATTAACATTTGAAGCACTGTATTATCCTATAGTTGCTTCTGTATATCTCTGTTTCTAATCTTTTAAAGTCCTAGAATAACCCCTAGTCTAGTACTATATTAGCTTGCTCTACACTCTCTACCTAGATAATTAGGGAAGACTGCTTCTTACTCTCTTTAATTTTCCTTTTAATCTATACTACTTTTGTAATCTTTAGGCCTAGGTATATAGCTTGGTTTTATCTCTATAGGCTCTTAATATCCTGTTCTTCCTTAAAGCTTCTTATTATGCTATAGGCTATAATTATAAATTGCTATTAGGAGACCTTTGCTATTTTCCCTATCTTAGTTGTCTATTCTTTTTGTGTTTCTAGCTTCTTTTTATCCTACTCTTGTGCTATAAATAGCTTGATTACCCCTTTACCTTCGTTCCTAGCCCTAATTACTTCTTTAACTGCAATTCTTTCTACAATCTCTTTCCCTATAAGTCCTTAGATTTCCTTTTGCTCCTATAGGTCCGTAATGTAGACTCTAACTACTGTCCTCGGGGGTTTTAGCGCCTCCTAACTAGCTATTGCTACCTAGGTACGGTGGTTTAGGCTTGTCTCCTATTGTTTCTTCGTAATCTTTGCTACGACTGTATTAGCTACCTTTGTAATTACGTAGCTTGCCTAGCTATAGATTGCTTTTAGTCCTCTAAGGAGTTCTAAGATTATTATCCTATATGCCCTCTTAGGGGTTCTTCTATCCTCCGCCTTTAGTACCTCCTCTGCCCTAGTATATAGTGCTTTCTATTCGTCCTCCCTTCCTTCTTAACTGTCTTCCCTTCGTCTCTAATTGTTCGCTGCCATTTTTTTTAGAGGTTTATTGCCCTAGTATATAGTGCTTTCTATTCGTCCTCCCTTCCTTCTTAACTGTCTTCCCTTAACGACATTTATAATAGAGCGACGGGCGTTCTCGTTAGTTTAGATTAGTAAGGGGTTTATATAGTAATAGCGAACAAAGCGGCTTATTATCTGCTCCGTTATATATGTCTTAATTATCGTTGTCGCCCTTCGAGTCCTCCGCGGAGAGAGTAAGATTTATAAGCGGAGCGCTCGAAGCGGGGCTTAGTATTCTATACTATGCCTTCAAAATTCGAAAACATCCGCTATAATAGTCGGATTATAGTAAAATTAATAGCAGAGCTTCGTCTTAATGTTGTCTTAATATTACATATCTTAAACAATATTATTTGTATATATAGTAGTAGTATTGTATACTTAGAGGTATAGGTTGTCGAACTCGAAGCTAAGCTTAGTCGCTTCGTCGTTAAAGCCAACTCTATTAATATTATAACCGCTATGTTTGAACAATCTACGCATATCTATACTAGCTATATACTTAAGAGCCTAAGTTAGAAAGTTAGCAAAGCATTCAAAGTCTTCCTATATACGCTTATGCTTTTTAATCTACCTCTTAAGTATATTAAAGGTCTGTTCTATTAGGTTCAAATCTAGCGAGTATAGCGGCAAGTATTCTAATCTGTAACCGGCTAACGTTATTATCTCTTTAACTCTATTACTATAGTAGATCGACGTATTATCTATAATAAATATTATCTCTTAGCCTTTAATTAGCGGCATTACTTTATTCTCGAGCTAGTTATCGAATGTAACTTAATCTACGGCGCCTTCTATATATAGAGTACACTTAAGATAGCTATTAATAGTTAGAGCCGGTAATATAGATAGGCGTCGTTAGTGTTAAGCGCACTAGAAGTCGTAACAATCTACGCCCTTCGGAGACTATCTATACTTCCTATAAGCAGTCTTCTTATTAGAAGCTGTCTTATTAAGGAATATTAACTTATCTACCGGCTAATTCTAGCTCTTTATATACTATATCGCTCTTACTATCGGATTACGCTCCTTCGCGACTTAACGAGCGACTATACGAGTCTACTCGAGCCGATTAGTAAGCGTACGCTATACGCTCGAAGGGCAAAGTTCTACGCCGAAGTTATTATATAATTCTATATATATCTCTTTAAGATAAGTATCTAGTCGATCGTTAAGGTATTCTAGTAACTACTCGTCTATTTCCTTCGTTATCTTCCTTATACGGCGTTTCTTAACCTTCTTCTTCTTACCTAGTTTAGGTACCTCCGGCGGATCCGGATCTAGTATATATACCTCCCTAAATAGCTAGTAACACTTCCGCTATCGATATATCGTCGACGTACTTACTCCTATCTTCGAGACAATAGTTGGAACGTTGAGATTGTCGTTGAAATATATTACTACGAGTCTAGCGGTCTTAGAGGGTAGGCGACCTAGTATAGTAGCGTAGTAGCTAAGGAAGGCGTAGAACAACTATAATAATACCTTAGATTGCATATTTAACGGCTATACTATCGATATGCTTAGCAATTCAATATTAAGACGAGAATACGTAGACAGAGGACGATTTAGCTAATTTACTAGTAAAATCTTGGTAGGGCTCCTCCAGTCTTGGCATTCTCAACCCAAACGCAAAACACAGTAAGCATGCGGCACTGAGAGATTTCCAACGCTGTTTGGAAGGTGAGTTGCTTCGAGAACACGCTTGTACGATCTCGCATGTCACGTCACGCCCGACCGCGTAAACTTGTTCTCTGAACGCAGCCAGCTATGGACGACCTGCAGGCACGGCATCGCAAGGAGCAGCGGGATCTGCAGAGTCGTGTCACGCAGAAGAAGAAGCAGGCGAGCAAGAAGACGAGGAAAGCTGTCAATGATGAGTGTGACGGCCTTGAGAGGGATCTGAAAGAGAAGCAGACCAGAGAAGTCGCAGAGCTCAATGGCGAAGCGGTGGCAGAGGAACTCACTGCGGAACAGCTGGAAGAGCTCACGCTGGGTGTAGATGCGGATGAGCCTAGGAAGAGTAATGACGATACAGCGGCACAGGAAGAGCAAGATGAGGCGGCCGCCACCTCTGCTGGGCTAGGAAAGAAGCGCAACCGTCAGAAGGACAGGCTGGCGAGACGCGCTGCTGAGCAGGAAGAACTCGCCCGCCAGGCCGCACGAGAGGCGGACAATATGCCGGACATGAAGGAACAGGAGCGACAGCGCATGCTCGAGGCCATGAAAGAGCATAAGCTCAGCGAGAAAGAGATCCGCGCCGATGGACATTGCCTGTATTCCGCCTTCGCCGACCAGCTGGAGCAATTGGGTCTGCCGCTGGGCACATCTTCGCATGAAAAGCCTTCACTCCCATACAAGGCGGTCCGTGCGAAAGCTGCCGATTATATTGAGCAGCACCAGGATGACTTTGTGCCTTTTCTCGAAGAACCACTGCCCGACTACATTCACAAAGTACGCAACACTGGCGAATGGGGTGGTCAGCTAGAGCTGCTTGCGCTCGCAAAGACGTATGGCACAAACATCAATGTGTTGCAAGACTTCGGGCGGCTTGAGAAGATCGAAGGCAGCACCGGCAAAGACGTCAAAACTGCGTGGCTTGGCTACTACAAGCATGGCTTTGGTCTCGGCGAGCACTACAACAGCCTAAGAAAGGCACCTTGAGCTTCAATGTTTCGTTGAATCGCCAGCAGCATCCTCATGTGCTCTCTGGTGCACAGGCTCAACGTGCATCGCATTCTGCCTGTGTGCACAGAGACTGCGAGCAGCTTACGCATCGTTGTGGTACCTCGTCACGAAGTTGATCAATGCCAATGCTAGTGCAAGACCACAACCACTAGTCGTCGGTCAGTCCAAATGTTGTATTCCTCGGCCTTGACATATTCACCTGGTCGCATGACCGGTCTCCCCGAAGATAATAGCACCAGGTACGTGAGTACGACGAGCTCAAGAATTAAGAGAATAACGTGCAGAGTCCAGAAGCTCCATAAGCAGCACGCAGAATACAGACCTCGTGGGTATGAGCCGTACATATCTGCGTGTTAAAGAGAGGTTGACCTCGGTGAGCTTGATAGACTACAGAAGCGGCGAACGTCTATGAGTGAGAAGGCTACGTCCTCACAGTAAGACATGCTATCTTTGTCCACGCCTCGCGTTGCAGTGCGATTTTGGTGCTCCTTCATGTGCACCTCGCTGCTCAGCCGAGAAATGCTTGGCTGTGAAGTGCTACTGCTGGCCCTCACTACTGTGAGGCTAAACATTCAGCTCCGCCAAGAATCGCAACACGGCGTCCAGTCTAAGCCCGAGACGTACAACGCTCACGTACCTCCATCACGACAAGTGCCTCTCAAGCTTGCAATAAGCTGTCGCGCATAATGGAATGCTACAGATCGTTCTCACAGCCTCGGCCTGCCACTCTCAAGGAACTTCTTGGGAATCGGCACGTGGACCGCACGAATAAATTCTGCAAAGCCTTTCCCGAGGGCATCAAGAATCTTGCTACTGGTCACGCCTCTCCCAAGCGGTCCATACACAACAAAGTGCACGGCTTTGATGTCTGGCATCTCGACTCTTTCGAGATGATACCAGTCTTTCCAGTCGGTGCCCATCATCTTCTTGAGCTGGTCCTTGGTCATGAGCGTTCGAAGCCAATCCCACTCTTCACCAGTGTGCACGAAGAGACCAATGTTCACGTTGGCGCCCTTATCACCACTACGTCCCAACACGACATCACCGATGGGAGCCATCACGGTTTCGCCGAATGCCTCTAAGCTTACTGGATTTGTTGGCTCGTAGTCTTCCCGAGGCGCCAAGATCTCGGTCTCCTTTGGCGGATGGATTCCATGCCAAGTCGCTTCTGCTGTTGTTGGGTTGATGATGGCCACACCTTCCTTCAGCTCAGCTTGCTCTATGATGCCGGGATAGAAGGCGATGAAAGGTTTCGGGATACCGGTGCGCATGTCCAAAGAACTGTGGAAGCCGGCGAAATGCTGCATGGCATTCGTGGCGTACGCACCTAATACCATCGCCACAATGCCTCGATCATGTGCTTGTGCGAAGACTCGGAGATATGTCGTGGACGCAAGCTGACAAGACGGATTTTCTTCTGGCCGACCGACCCATTGGAAGTCCAAGATGTCAAACTTGTGAAGCACACCCCATTCCTTGAGCTTGGCTGTGATCTGCGCTTCTAGCAGAGCAAACTTCTTCGCGGTAGCATACCCTGAAGCATTGAGTAGCAACTCACACTGATACCCGCCCTTATAGAACACAGCCAACTTCGTCGTAGAAGGAGGCGGGTGCCCTTTCGTGCCAGACACCCTCACACGATCCTTCCCCACATCTTCGATCTTGATATGCGTTGTATCCGCTTTGACATCCGAGTTCAGGTAAATATTCCCTTGCAATTCATACAAGAACTGACACTTGACAGTATCAGCCGTCACAAATCCATTCGGCCCTTCGTGTTTCGTCACAATACAATCACCATTCGCCTCAACTTCCACAATCGCCGGGATCAAATTCAAAAGTTCCGGAATCTCATATTCGTAGAATCCGGCAAAATTCGCTCCTGTGATGTAAGTCGAACACTCGATCAAATGTCCTGCGATGAGCGCTCCGGCTAGAGCGTCGAAGTCGTCATCGCGCCATTGATGCCACCAAGCCGCTGCACCAATTACCGGACTCGCATCCGCAACTCTCCCACAAATGATAATATCAGCGCCCTCTTCCAACCCTTTCCGAATCGCTCTCCCACCAAGATACGCATTCGCAGAAACTATCCGATTCCGTTCCCGATTCTCTGGATCCAAGAACACACTCGTATCTTTCGCCAACTCCACCTTCGGATGATTCGTATCAAGATGCGCCAACCCACCTTTCTCCTCATCTCTCTTCAAAATTTCCTCGATCCTCGGCAACAAATCATCGCCTTCAACGTAAGCTACCGTCAAATCCAAATTCTTCGATCTTACCAAATCATTCACTTTCAAAGCGAGACCTTTGGGGTTCAAGGACCCTCCGTTGATCACGACTTTGATACGTTTTTCTGCGATGAGGTCGGCTGTTAATTCGATTCCGTCCCAGGCGGTTTGACACCAGCCTGGATGTTCGCCTTTTTGATAGGCTTCTGCGTCGTTTCCGAGATTGATTTCTGCGAGGTAGTCGCCTGTTATTACGTCAACAGGCCCGTATTTGGCTTGGTTGTACCTGGGATTTTTGGGATTAGATTGAAGGGTCGTTAGGTATGTATGTTTGATGACTTGCATATGTGTTCCTGGATCTGGAACAGCTCCGCTGCAGTTCGCAATGCGAACGGGGCGTTGTATTGAGCCCATGCTGACACCTTGAGGATTTTTGGAAAAGTCTATGGATCGATGCTGATACTTAGGAGACGATCGTTGAGCAATGACCATCACTGACCTTTTGTGGTTATTAGTGAAGTCATCAAGGTACAGCAGATCTCTCTTGCATTCTAAAGCCTCGCGACCCCTCTCGGCTACCGGCTATAGCCCGATGCAGTAGCCGTATGGCAATGGCACTTCATTCGTTGTTGTCGTTCGAAAGTACGACTCAGACCCTGGTCGGCATCTGTGTCCGACCCCTCCTCCAATCCACATGACGGAGCTTCGAACCGAACGACCTATATACATGTCGATATTGACGACTCGGAAGTTTTTGTGAACCTTGCTTTCTGTACCTTTTCAACTCATATTGAGAAACAATCTCGTGGAGAACTGGATGAAGTCAGAATCCTTCAATCCTTGCCCTATGCTTATCAATAAACTCCTGCAGTCCGCCGATCTCAACCCTCACTCACTACCGACATAAGTATTGACCTTCTGGCACATCGTCCTTGCAAGTTCTTGACGACTCAGAGCTAGATTACAGTCCTGCTTTCACAATATTTACCACATCTGCGAGCGAATGCAGGCGTCTTGAGCTGCCACCATGGGTTCAGCAGGGGAAAGCATTCCATATTCGGTACCTAAAGAGGCGCAAAGGATCTTCGAGCAAGAGATCTTGAACAATCCTCTTGTTCCAGAATTACCGGGCGACATCAAGGATGCGGCAAAACTGGTTCACTTCTCTGGTAATGACTTGCCAAGCATCCCGATCAATTGGCGCTTCGCGGAAAGTGCTGCGGCACTGAAGGCATTCGAAGCAAGCATGCTGAATTTGCTGCGGGCGAGGAAATATGGAGCTCCGTTTTCCAAGGTGGACATCAACACGGATCACGCTTCGCTATTCGTCATGTCGCCGATGCTTGCTCAGATAGTCGGCCAAGAAAGCTCGAGCGGAGGACAGAATGTTTTCAGCACGGACGCGCTGGCCAAGGTCGGCATTCAGAACTGTGATCTGCATAGAGCCGGTGCATCTCCGCAGAGATCGCTCATCACAAACATCTACAGGACGAAGGATGGCCGATACTACCACGTGCATGGAAGCATGAACCCGGATCCAACTCTCACTGCTCTCGGCCAGCCTTTGGATGGCGATCCGAAGGAGGAGTACGACTCTGCCGTGAAGAGATTCCAGGATGTTGTTGGTCATTGGAATTCCAAGGACCTGGATATACTCATGAATGAGAAGTATCGACAGGCAGGCACAATTTGCTGGTCCAAGGACGAATTCTTCCAAACCGAGCACGGCAAAGCCAACGCCCATGTCGGCTTGTACGAGATCCAAAAGGCTCCCGAGTCCAAGCAGGCCGCATCTTGGTGGCCAGAAAACGGGTCAAATCCATCGTCAGCTCAGCGGCCGCTCGCTGGATTAAAGGTCGTCGACCTCACCAGAGTGATTGCTGCACCTGCAGTCACTCGTGGTCTTGCTGAACTCGGGGCTAGTGTGATTCGCGTCACCTCTCCTCACGTCACAGATCTCTCAGGCGTACACCAGGATCTGAACTGGGGAAAGTGGACGACGTTCTTGCATTTGAAGAACGAAGAGGACCGTTTGAAGCTCGTTGAGCTCATCAAAGAAGCCGACATCGTTGTCGAAGGGTATCGTCCATCAGTCATGGAGAAGTATGGCCTGAGTCGGAAAGATATTTTCGAGCTCGTCAAGGATCGGGAGCGCGGAATCATCCACGTCAAGGAGAATTGCTATGGCTGGCATGGACCATGGCAGCATCGCAGCGGCTGGCAGCAAATCAGTGACGCCTGTTGCGGCACTTCTCTGGCTTATGGCCGGGCCATGGGCCATGATGAGGCAGTCACTCCAATCTTCCCGAACTCGGACTACTGCACAGGAATCGCAGGCGCATGCGCAATTCTGCATGCTGTGATGAAGCGAGGCGAAGAAGGCGGCTCCTATGGGGTTGACGTCTCACTGAATTACTACTCGCAATGGTTAGTGCGCTCCGTTGGCGAATATCCCACGGACGTGTGGAACGAGGTCTGGTCTCGACATGGCTCGCCCGTGTTCCGCAACTACCACAGCATGCTGTATACACTCCCTTCCATGATCGGCCTCTTGAAGCAGCACGATTCCAAGACGTTGTTCAATCCGGCATTCTTCGAGCAGAGGACTTCCAAGGCCGTGGGGCACGACTTTATCGTGGTGAAGCCTATTGCGGATTACCATGGAGAGGTTGAGCTGAAGTACAACGTTGGAACGCGAGGCAATGGGTACGACCAAGCATATTGGCCAGAAAATCTGCTGACAGAGGTGCTGGCGTAGAGCTGCGTCTTGAATGAATGGGATCGGCGTAGTAATCTGAGCCTTTCTCAGCTCTGCTTGGCCATGACGATCGGGTAGCGTTAGCAGAAAGGGTGCATTGTGCGAAGAAATGAAAGTTGATGCTAGTCATGTTCGTCGTCACCAGGTGTTTTGTATTTTCGCAGTCACTTCTTTTGTCTCGCCGTCAAAAGCCCTGGGACGCTCCTCGTAGCGAACGCCGAACATGCGTCCTGCAGCATCCCCACTTTCACATGAAGAACTTCTCCAATGTTCTTCGATCATGCCACAGCTCGTTGAGCAGCTCAGCCAGCGCGCCCCCTCCATGCTGCATGACCTCAACCTCTCTCAGCTGCCTGGCTATAGGTAAGACCAGAACATACTTGGGAGAGACTTACATCTGGGAGCCACATGACTGGTTGAGCCGCCTCAGAACATCCCTAGTTCTGTGTCATTCACCCGCGGGAGGCTCCAGCGACAGCCCACCTGCTGAATCCTCGAGCAAGAATTTCAGTCTCCGATCGCGAGAACTACGGCTGTACTCTCAGATATTGATCCGGTCAGAAGATGTCGACGACCACCATAACACCACCACGATCGAGAGCTCATTCCAGAAATCGACTGGCTCATATCGCAGCATACCAACTGCTGGCTGGGGCTGAGAACAGGTGTGGAGGTGATACAAATTCCAGCTTCACCCATCCTGCTCAGCTCCACGGAAGCAGCCAAAGCAATGCATCGCCACGAAGGGAACAAGATCCTCCAAAGCAACTGAGCACGGCATGGCTCATGATCGATTGTGCTCTGTTCTTGGTTGCCTTCGGATTGGTCAACTTGTCAAACAATTGTGATGTTGCTGCGATCACTTTCATGGCATTCTTCGCCACCTCCCTGACATATCTTGCTGGAGAGATCGACGAGACCGAATCTGCCTTGAGGGTCTTTCTCAGACTGCTCAGTATCTGCTTCATCGCTGACGTTCTGAAGCTGGACCAGACAGACATGCAGAGGATTGCAAAGTGAGGCACATGCCTCGTCACCGGAGAGCTGCACACGCTTAGTACACGGTGCATCCTGCCGCCTCACCTGGACCGGATACTCGTGATTCCCCCGGAGGTGGATCTTTGAGCTGCAAAGCGTCACCGGAACCAATTACCTGGTTTCGTTTCACGAAAATAATGCTACCAGGCACTCAAAGACGCTGAGCGTCTGTGTACGCATCGAAGCTCATTCAGGTGGGAAGTACAGGGCCTCTTCAGCCTCGGGTTGGTACGACGATGCAGCGCAAGCTCTTGCGAAGCAAAGACAAGCACTGTTGGCACGCGCTGTGGCACCTTCACGATGCAAGATAAATTCACAGCTCTTCGTCACGTTCGTGGTCCATCAACAACCTCACTCAACATCTGCACACGACCATCGTCTCCCTTCATCTCCCAAACATGCAGCTCTCGATCACTACGCTTTCGGCCATCCTTGCTGCACTTGCCAGTCATCCGGCTCTCGTTGCAGCAAATGGCTGCTACTCTGGAGGCGAAACATGGGGTCAAGTCGCTGACGCCGGCACAATCGCCGCTGCCCGCGAGACTTTCTGCAACAACAATGCTGGCGATTTTGCTGCGGATCAGACCAAGTCTTCCTGCGCCAACTTCGATAGCGGAAACAGCATCAACTGGCAAGTCTCGGAGCCTTTTGCTCATAGGCCGAAATGCTGAGCTACTTTCTCAGGTCGGTTCATATCAACGGCGTTGGCACGACTCTCTTGAGCAGCGATTGTGTTGCTGCACTGACAATCGAGATCAATGCTTGCGAGCATGGAAGTGAACAGGACCATGGTCGTTTTCATTACAAGGCTGATCCAAATGCGGGAAAGTGCCCGTAAATCTTCAAGAATCGAACGTGACAGATGGTTGATGGGTAGATCAGGTGTATTGGGTATGCAAGAGCAAGGCTGAGATTGCATTTACGCTCGCTACTACGTATTCTTGTGATTTCTTTAGCAGCCTGACTTAGGCACATTGCTGCACTCTCAGAATTTTGCAATTTCATATATGCGCCAATTTCAGCAGAGCCTACCCCCAGAGCTCGGTCAACATATATTCGTGAAACTTGCTGTGTGAGCGCGAGTGAGACCTCATCCGCTGGAGGCATTATACGCTCTGTTCGAAACTACTGTGCCTGCTAGCAAGATCGCAAGCAGCAGCAGCCATGACCAGCACACCACAACACTGACCAAATCAGATCAGATTAGGCACACTAGTCACTATGTCGACAGAAGACATTCTCCGAGCAGCTACGGGGCTCGATCAAGAGGGCATGGAAAATACCAAGCTTTATGCGGACTCGTTGTTGAGAGAGGTAAGACTCGTAAATATCCCGATGAATGCGCAGCTGACATCGACGACATCGTCAGGGGGCACACCGGTCTATTTGCAAAACTATGAATCCGCAAATCTTGACCTTGTTGAGATTCAAAACCAGATCGCAGAGTCTATGACCAGACCAGCTCTCCGCTACTGATCCTCGACGCCGCCTTTTCGTTCCTGCTCCTCGACAATCAGCCTCCGCCGTCAGACTTCCTTTCATACAACACCCTACCATCGACTGCTCCATGCCTCTCCAACAGTTCAGCGATGATGGTGGGAATCTCAGTCTCGTCAGACTCAAGATACTTCTCGCACGTGGTGTCGATGTTATCGGCCCTCAGCCAGTCATCATCCCAGGCACTATCAATGCGAACTCCAGTGCCTTTCAAGATTTTTCTCATTCCCATACCGCGCGTCACACCTTCAGCATGCGTCCAGTCAAATTTTGCTCCCGCGACGACGGTTTCCGTCCAGTCGTCGTTCACAGCACCGCCGACCTTCGGAGCTTCTTCCGGCGGTCAGGCCCAACGCAGACGGTCCTTGAAGTCGAAGAGGCACGCGCCATGGTTGCTTTCACATTCGGCTAAGGAAAGACTTCATGGTTTCCACAAGGTGAGGCCAGGCGTGGTAAGGCGGGGCTAGGCATGGCGGTGGGATGCCAGATATGGCGAGGGTTGATTGAAGGAAGCAGACCCGATTTCTCTTTCTTTCTCTTTCTCTTTCCTTTTCACAATGTCTTCGGCTGAGAACTTCATGATTCCAGTGTAATTAATGCGCCAAGCTTATTCAACTTAACACGAAGCAATTGACAGTCTTTTTGTCTCGCATGTTCGCCTGTGCTCTGTCACTCGTTTGTGGTCATGATGCGCATACAACTCAGAACTTCTCTTTTGCCCCTTTTTATTTGTCGCCTTCGTCCTCGCTCGCTCGCTTACTCGCCGCCCGTTCGCACTCTCGACCTCTCGCTCGACTTTTCCTAGCCATTTCGCATGCAAATTTCACATCATCTCCATCTCCATCATCCTCATGCTTCTGCTTGTCGATACGCCCGGAAGAGTGCGTTGCTTAGACGTGTCGATGGCAGGCCGTCGTTGTCGATGTGTGGCTCCGCTACCGACTCGATGCTGAGTTCTTTGTTGCCCAGAGCGAAATCAAACGCGAAAATCGTCAAATTCCGCACTGTATTGTAACGAAGCTCTCGTTTCGGCGACAGTTGTATGCCCAGAGCGAAGTCGATGTCCTGCATCTCGAAAACATTCTCTTGTGCAACTTCCCGACCATGCCCGTCGAAGAACCACAGGCCGAGAAAGCAGGGGTACTAGACAGCATAGATGATGGCCCGAGTATCATCGTGCTGGAGAACTATCAAAAGTGTTTTCGCGCTCCAGCACGGCTCTTCAGCGAGGCCTTTCGATCGAATGGCAGCTAATCTTGAGATCTTTTGAATCGCGAGCGCCATTGCGGTAAGACTATGGATGGCCCATCGGAGCTCACCTGCCACTCTATTCCTCGCCGTCTCTCCCTCTCCTCCCACTCAAAATCCAAGGCCTCTCCTCCCAAAACCCATCTCCAATAATATCAACATGCTCAACCACAATCCTCGCCTTCATCTTCCTCTTTCTCTCCTTCTCAAGTTGCGTCTTACTCATCTCACTCCCAACATCCACGAATTTCCCGCTTGCCTTGACCTCCTCGTCGTAACTCCGATAAACCACCGTGCCCTTCCTGAAAATCTCCTCCTCAGCATTATAATTGATCCCAAACCGACTCCACAGAATCTCATTCTTATCACTCGACAACGTGCCCTTCAACTCCTCTTCCGCCGCCGTCCCAGTCATACCCCCCTTGATGACCATATTCCAGAACGTGGTATTGTAAAGATTATTGATGTGGCAATCGACCTGTCTCCACTTGAGATAATCTCTCAGGATCTTTCGTTTCGGGTACGCCACAGCTCTCGCGTCGAATGTCGGCCAAGGTCTTTCCAGCTTGACATCCCCAAAATGCTCCGACCAAAGCATACAGTACTCCGCAGTAAACTGTGTCGCCACACTCGTCTCAAGCTTGGCGCGTCTCCTTTCAAATAGTGATGTGTCCTCGCCGAAGATGAAGGAATATTCATCACTTTGTCCGTACGCCAATACAATGTCGTGGAAAGAGCGCACGACTTCCGTCGCCGCGGCATTCATCAGATGCAGGGCTCGGGGGTCGTTGGGTTTCGCGAAATCATATTTCTTGCAGAGTTTGCTGAAGCCACGACCATCGATTCGGATGACGATCCAGTTTGAAGGTGGGAGCGCATCGTATGTTTCGAAGTTTCGGACATATTGGAATTCTGAGTTTGCCATCTTGGATCCCAGGCCGATGGCTTTATGATGTGCTGTCACTGCCACATTGCTGTTGTTTTGGTTATGCCAAGGAAGACGATGAAGTTGAGGTTGCTCATACCCCCTAGGGTAGTTGTACGAAGTCTATACAGAAGACAAATTTATAACAAACTACTAGAGACATACGATTCTCTTCTATATATGTTAAGTCTTTGATAGAAGATCTCTAAAGTCTAATAGAAATAATTTAGATACGATTAGTAGTAGCGATTTTATATTTTATATTTTAGTTTATAGAAAATTTTGCTTTGCTTTATAAGGGTTTTATATATATCTACTATAGCTTAGCCCCTATATATGTTACATATTAAATAAATAGTTCGCTAACTTCAAGTTTACTTAGGCTCTATATACTAAAACTAAGCTATAGTACTAGATATAAATAAAATCTCTATAAAGCAAAGTAAAATTTTCTTTAGGTTTTAGCTAGGATACATAATACAAAATCGCTACTACTAATCGTATCTGAATTGCTTCTATTAGATCTTAGAGTTTCTAATACTTTTTATACTAAAGAGCTAATATAGTATATAGGAAAATCGTATATCTCTAGTAGTTTGCTAGTTTTATTATTAAATTATTAATAGAATAGTTATTTCCTATATTTAAAACTTCTATCTAATATAGAAATATCTTTCTTTATACTAAGTTTATAGTATTATTTTTTAGAAATTATATACTTGTTTAGGCTTAGATTTATATCGGTTATATATAAAGATTAGACTTCCGACTCGGGCTAGCGTAACTTAGTAAAGCTACTCTTCTATCTACCTCCTTCTTAGACTCTTCTTATAGACTCTATCCTACCTTCTATCTTCTAACTATAACTTCTATTCCTACCCTATATATACCCTAGCGTCGATCGGTTCTCGGCTCTTCTATATATAGTCTAGTACTATAGTATATAGAAGAAGTCTTCGTAGAAGAGCCTAGAGACAAATATTGCGAAGCTACAGTATTAATCTTACATATATAAAATAGGTAGAATAGTATCGTAACTATATATTTTAAGTAAAAGTTATATTAGAATTAATTATAGATATTAGGTAGACGAAAATTAAATTTAATTAATATCTATATAATAATCTATATATTTCTAAGAATATAGGAATAAAAATTGCAAAATACTACTTTAGGATAGACGCTATACGAATAGCGTCCGGATTGCCTCTATAGCGATACTACTACTATTGTTTACTATAGGCGGAAATATATACGGACTCTTAGAATTACCCCGGGCCGCTCTCTAACCTCTAGGTATTTATACGAGTATATAATATTATAATTATTATTATAGTATTCTTCCTAAAGGGGAGGGCTAGCTAGCTAGCTCTAGGCGTAATCTGCTAACGACCTATTCTCGCTCGAATATTTTAGTTCTATCTTTTTAAATTTCTTTCTAGAAGCTAGATATACTTTATAGTATACTATATTGTCTTATATTCGAGTTTATAGGGTTATATAACGCTAGTTGTTTATAGTATAAATCTATAAGGATAATACTGCAGATTTAGTAGTATATTTGTCCTTAGACCCTTGCTAGCGTAAGGAGGTTAGTGTAGTTAGGTATGTGGGTGTGTAGGTCCAGTCGCGTACTAGTCCGATATAGAATGGTTGGAAGGTGGAAGGTAGAAGGTGGAAGGTAGAGGGAGGTGATTGGGAAGAGCCCACCACCTGCTACACTGAAAACCTCCTTGCGCTCAAACAGCAAGGGGCTGCAACGGAGATAGCTCTTCTATACGACCTTTCATTCCTGAACGTCAACACTACTAAGATTCTTCAAGCACCATCGACCCAACCTGAGTAGCCATGTCGCAGCTTATTCCAGATGCGCCATGCGATCATCTCTCCTGACTTCAATTGGCACTATATCTGACACACACACACATGAATACTCAGATCGCGACTAAGTACGTGAGATGAAGCTGGAAGCGAGAGTGACATGTGTGTCGCCTCGAAAGAGTCTTGTATCGTTAACGCACTCATGCATTGTACTCTGTATAATGTCAATACAAATTAATCAGCCGTAATGTATCCAGTCTTCATTACGATTTTAGAATCCCTTCGCGTAGATCGATATTGTCGACGAAGTAGCATTGCCACACGAGCCTGCCTGTGCACCTGAGCCTCCCAAGCATTGGTAGCAGTTATTGTCACCTGCTGCTCCTGCCACCGAGCCCATGTTCTGAGAAGATCCGCCATTGCTGTTGTGAGATTTCAAATTAGTCTTTGTTTTTCTCTTGTGTTGCTTGGTAGCCCGAACGCTCAAATCGCCGAAGAAGGGTGTCGCTATCTAGGTTGTCGCGGAGGTGTCGCCAAAAAGCAGTGCGCTCGCTGTATGTGAACGCTTTCAAACATCGACAGATTGCGCAGGTCCGGACATGCGGTGACCTCTGTACTCAAAGCCTTTCGCATAGATGGCAATGATTATAAGTGTGGAACGCTGCAGCTACGAAGCTATATTGTAAAGCTACGGGCGGGTGGACGTACCTGTGAGAAGATGAGTGTTAGTGAATGGCAAGTTTTAAAGTAGTCCCGGACTTACCTGGTAACGTATGTAATCGAATTACCGCACCAGCAGTCGACTTGTACAGGTGGGCCTGGTGAAGTATTGACGACACCATAGTAGATGAAGTTGTTAGTGAGGCACCGTGTTGCACATTGATAGTTCGCATTTGTGGCATAAGTTGCCTGCCAATTTTGAAGCGCTAAGCCACCAGTGTCTGATCTTGTTCCAGTTTGAACGTAGCAGCCAAGGTAGCCATATTGAATCGAAGGGCTGGCACTTGGTCCAGGAGGCTGTGAAAAATATTAGAAGTGTCATGTCTGAATCGATTTATCAGTCTTACTCCAGAGGGGCCAGAAGGCTGCAAGGAGTGTTAGCAGAGCTACCGTTATCTTTGACATAGGCAAAGACTCACTCCAACACTTCCCGTGGCGCCGACTAAACCAGAAGCTCCGGTTGGCTAAGGTAGCATCAATATCCAACTTGAAGTATCGGCTCGTGTGTCTGCTTACGCCTGAAGGACCAGAAGGCTGGAAGTATAGTTAGCTCGGAGATAAATCGATATATTGGGGCTGGAGACATACGCCGACCGATCCAGTCCCTACAGCCAGCCAACTCCGTTAGCACAATCGATGAATTGATCTCATAGGCACTACTCACGTCCAGTGGGCCCAACGGAACTGCAAAGCCATGTCAGTCAAGCTCTTGTCATCGCAAGCAATGTATGCCTCACCCCGTGGCTCCTACTTGTCCGCTTGCGCCGCTTGCGCCGCTCGCTTTAACGTTCATCAGCATGTGATACCTATCTTTGGCCAAAATGCCAACTTACGTCCAGAAGGGCCGACGCTTCTGCACAGATCGTCAGCAAAAAGCCCTTTTGGTAGCAAATTAGTATCGTGGATGCTTACCCTGTTGCGCCTACTTGTCCAGAAGCCTGTCCTTCAAATCAGCGAATGTGGTAGTGCAGTGTATAGAAGACCTACGCCCGTGGCGCCTATTTGTCCACTTGCGCCAGTAGCTATACTAAGTATCAGTATAGAACGAAGTAAATAACTGCTAAGGAAGACAACTGACGCCCTGTTGGCCCTGTCGGTCCGGTACTCTGAAAACTATGTCAGTAAGCTTGAGATAGTGCCTAAAATGGTTTCTTACTCCAATTTGTCCACTTGCGCCGGTAGCTATACTAAGTATCAGTATAGAACGAAGTAAATAACTGCTAAGGAAGACAACTGACGCCCTGTTGGCCCTGTCGGTCCGGTACTCTGAAAACTATGTCAGTAAGCTTGAGGTAGTACCCAAAATGGTTTCTTACTCCAATTTGTCCACTTGCGCCGGTAGCTGCACTAAGTATCAGTATAGAACGAAGTAAATAACTGCCAAGGAAGACAACTAACGCCCCGTCGGCCCTGTCGGTCCAGTCGGCTTGAGAGAAGTCAGTTAAAGCTTATCGACTTCATGGTCACTCTCTACTCACTCCGGTAGCACCAGTCCTTCCAGTGGCTGTTCACGAGGGTTAGATGATTCGACAAAGACTGCAATCCGCAATTCTTACGCCCAGTTGGCTGAAGAACATGTCAGCAAGCAGTGCGCGGCGCCTGAAGTAGTGGCCTCTTACTCCCGTTTGTCCCACTTGCCCGCTTGCCCCAGAAGGACTTCACTCATGTTAGTATTTGGCTCTTCAGTGTGATTGGGCTCGGAGCATTACCCGGTTGCTTAGAGATGCGTCAGCAAGATAGCCATTCCCATTGACAATACTGCAATTCTTACCACCAACAGCTCCCGATTGTCCGGTGGGACCCGTCGCTATGCATCATGTCAGTATCGTTCTGACCCAGCCATTCGGAGCTGACGTACGTCCAGTCGGTCCCGTAGCTATCTCGTTGTCAGCATTTGACCCGTCAGGATAAACCACAACACGGTATCTTACGTCCAGTGGGCCCGGTAGGACCGGTGATGGTGCTCAATTTTAGCCCTTGACAGGAACTCGCACTAAACAAGCTCAAAGACACAAAGCTGCAGCCTGCTGGCTGCGCATCCTGCTGAAAGACCGCATAGACTGAGCCATTGCTTACAGCGCAGAATTGCGCTTGGCCGTTCCAGAAAGCGTCGTTCCACCACGCTAAAGCTCCGCTGGAGCCGATTGAGAATCGGGTGGTAATTGGGCCTGGCGTCTGACTTGGAACGAATGGTGAGTAGGGCAGGCCAGGATTGGTGGAATATGTGTAATTCACGTTGTTCACCGTCGCAATGAGGACGCCTTCCGTAATGGTGTAGAGAGGTGCCGTGAGGCAGTCATTCGTGACGGTACCGTTACCGGAGACATATTGCTTGGAAACTGTCAGTGTACCTACAGCGCCCGTTTTGTGATCATTGAACACATACCCCTCCAGAGTTCTGTCTCCTTCCCACGGCATTTACGCCTCCAAGAATATTTGCAGGGCCCATGTCTAGGAACATGACAAAGAATGAGTCGAAGGGACTTCCGGTGGGCATGGCTAGCGTCGGATTCGCCATGGTCTGCATGGCTGCGGCGGTCGGCGACTGAATAAAGTTTGAAGAGAGTCCTGAGCCTCGCGCTCTCATATCATATTCAGTCCATTTGAAAGTCGTCACTTCGTCGAAACTCGTTGGCGCATTGGTGACGGTGACGGCCATTTCTGGTATGGCGTAGAATGTGGTGTTTTCGAGCACATCTGTGTTGATGTATGCAGCCTGCTCCCGGACGGTCATCGTTCTCACGATTCGGTTTGCGAGGAGACATGCTGGCGAGTCGGTGGAATTCTGTGCTTGAACGGCGTAACTACCATATCCAAGGGAAACGGTGAAAACAAGGCTTCGCAAAGATGCCGAAAGAGATAACATGATGAACGACGGTGGTGTTCGTCAAGGCGACGACACTGAAGAGAACACACTGCGCACAAACGAGTGACAGACGGCGACACGGCCAAGGTAGCATGGGCAGAAGCAGAAGGTGCAGGGCAGGGCAGGGCAGGGCTGCGTGCGAACATGTACCGAATGCGGATCGCGAGCATGTTGGTAGGCTCCAGGCAAGCAGAACGCGTTGCCAGGGTGAACGTGAGATGGGCGTGTGAAGGAATGCGGGATGTGAAGGCTTGGCTTGGCAAAAGGAGGGCCTCCACGTAGACCACGGTCTGAGACGGCGAATGAGGGACAGGAAATGGTTCCATGAATGTGGCGAGGCGCGTGGAGAGCGGGTATGCCGCATCGCTGTGGGCGGAAAGACGGGATGTCTCATTTCGCGCGAGATGTCAGTTTGCGATGCATGCTCAACGAGACGGCGGATCGAATGCCGCAGCATTGTCTCCAGCGAAGTACTCAACACTTGAAGATGGCCGTTGGATCAGCGTACTCTGAGTGACGGCTCACGGGTTAGGAGAAGCGTCCAGACGGGGTGCTGTGGTCAGAGCCAACATTCCGAGCGGACGTCGTGCATTCTTCGGTAACGGAGCACACGCAATGCCGGTGAAGATATATGTATCGTCTACGGTCGCGGCCTCGTAAGCAGATATGCCATTCCGAGGCAAGAAGTTTTAATGTAGAAAACGAAACTTCAGCACGTATCCTAGGTGTCGATGCCGTCCGCATACGGATGGTACTGATGCCGTATGCTTCTGGAACGCGTGCTACTAACGACGAACGAATCAAGGGATGGCGCTGGGAGAGCCTGCCGTTCTGTCCAGACTCATGGAGTGTAGTGGATCAATGAAGCCGTCAACAGCTCCTCCAAGTGTCTGCACTGGCGATCCAGAACATCATGAATGCGTCGTGAGGTGTTGTCGGCGAGAACGGGCATGCATCCGAGCTTCGGCATTTTCTCGGCATCCAGCTTCCCAAAATTTGGCTCGAATTTCTCATGTGCATCTTTGCTGACATGCAAAAATGCCATCGCTCCAGAGTCTTCAATTTACGAGATAGCCAGCAGTCGCGATGGCAGCAGAGGTGGCGCCGCTGCCAATTGTGCGCTCGGCGCCAGGTCCGGCACCGCAAACGGCCGATACCACCTACTGGAAGGCATTCAAGAATCAGCTTTTGCTTCCTTCACCTCACAATGCCGCCGTTACATCGATCACGCTGCCAGATGCAAATCCTACTGGTCCACAAGCCGACGCTTTCGCCATCACGAGTGGTAGTCGCGTGCAGACATACAGCACCAAGACACGCAAACTGCTCAAGACCATCAGCCGATTCGGTGTCGATGATACCGCTCGATCAGGTGTCCTGCGGCGGGATGGTCGCATTCTACTTGCTGGTGGAGACAGTGGTACGATTCAGGCATTTGATACAGGTTCAAGAGCTATTTTGAAACAGTGGAATGGCGCGCATGCACACAAGCTGCCAGTGCATGTCGTGAGATGGAGCCCGAGCGTTCTTACAGACCTGATGAGCTGCAGTGACGACCGCACTGTGCGCGTCTGGGATTTGACGGAAGATGTTGCCAGGTGGACAGGCATTGGACATGAAGACTATGTGCGTTGCGGAGCGTACTTGCCTGGTCAAGGTGGTAATGTGGTAGTCAGCGGCAGCTACGACCAGACTGTGCGCATTTGGGATACTCGGCAGGGCCGCACGGGAAACATGGCCAGCCTGACATTCAAATTGCCCGCGCCGATCGAAGACTTGCTCCCATTGAGTAGCTCGAGCATTGCCACGGCTGCCGGCAATGAGGTATCTATTGTCAACCTGGTCGCTGGAAAGGCTGAAAATGTCATCAGGTCGCACCAGAAGACCGTCACTGCTTTGTCGACGGCTCAGAATGGCGCTCGCATCCTCACTGCCGGCCTCGATGGACATGTCAAGATTCATGACACGGTCAGCTGGGAAGTTGTTGCCGCCTTCAAATATCCGTCGCCTATTTTGAGCTTGGCTGTCATTTCCGCCGCTTCAGCAAACCACGCTGCACGTGACGATCGCCACCTTGCCGTTGGCCTTCAAAATGGTCTGCTCTCGCTCCGAACCCGCCTAGCTGGCACCGAGAAGGTAAAAGCTCGCGAACGCGAAAAGAAAATGGAAGCCTTGGTGGCTGGAACAGCAGACGAGTACGAGCGCAAGCAGAAAAAGAAGGACATGCGTCAAGGCATCCGGGCACGCGATCGAGGCAAGGACTACAAAGGTGAAGGTGCTGACATTGTCATTACTGGCAACGACAGACCACGGCATAAGAAGCTCGTGCCCTGGCAACGAAGCCTGCGACAAGGGAAGTACGCCGAGGCTGTGGACCAGGTCCTGCCTCCTGGAAATTGGGAGCAGTTCAATCGTAATGATTTGATCACCCTCCTGGTCACGTTGCGCCACCGCAGTGCTTCTCGCGCTGCGCTATCCGGACGAACACCCGACCGACTTCTGCCCATGCTGGGCTTCATTCACAAATACATCCAGCACCCGGCGCATGTGAGCGTCCTTTATGACGTGCTCTTATTGCTACTAGACCTCTACAGTCATAAATTCGGTGATTGGCAGAGCAGCGATGATGACGATGAGAAGGCCGTGGTGACTCTCGTGCATCAGATCAAGGGTCGTGTCAGGCAGGCCGCAGACTGGGCAAGCGCTTCGCACAGGACTCTGGGTATGATCGAACTTCTCGAATCTGGATGAACGGCATCACGCAGAAAATCTCTTAGATCATGCCATCTCACTGCACATCACCAAAATGGCGTAAGGCCGTGGGAACTGCGGCCCGCAAGGCCAGAGGGAGACCTCAACTAGCGAGCAATTGCAGGTCGCGTTCTCACAACATCGCGAGGCTGCTCAGATAATGCACAGGCCTGTCATAGCCATTGAGATGCTGGCAAACACCGCTTTGCTAGTCCGACGAAAGTCCTTAGTCACCGCGTTGATTTGCCGAAGCGCCCACTTGGCTTCCAAGATGGCGGATGTTCCGCAGCATGGCCCAGGATGCTGGAGAAACAGCTTCAGCGTAGAAATCTGCAACAACGGCCTCAAATAGCATTTTATTATCCACTCGGGGCACGTCTTGCGCGTGGAATGAGGTCGTGACTGGACCATGATCAATCATGCTTGATGTTTTCAGTGGCATCACACCAGATTACGCGAGACGTATATCAACGCCGGAAGAATCGGGTAACCCTTGTCGTGTCTCTCGCTTGCTCACGCCATGAAGTGAGGCTCGGTATCAATTTATCAACCTCCACCTCTCGCAGTCGTTTCATTCTTGACCCCAGCTTAACTCAGAAAGATCACTGACACTGACATCGTGCACGGCGCCTTGTTCAAAGCTATCGATAAAGGCATGAAATCATGTCTGCTACTCTCAAGACGAGCCTTGCCAGAGCTACTGCCGCCATGAACCCCCAAGTATGTGGACCACGATTACTGAGGACATCACTCATGTCAGCACGACGAAGCTACGCAACCGCAATGTCACTTGCCACACATCAGACCATATCGAATCTATTGAACGACAGCATCGCGGCAGGAAAGCACACTGTGACTGCAATTCAGTGCACAGTACTGCAACAACCTGAGAGCAATGTGCTCAGAATGCAGCCCAGGCCAATTGGACCTGGAGAAGAGGATACGAAGGTCGGCTTCAGTTCGAGTGAAGTTCAAGAAGCGCCAGAGAAGATGGTGAAAGTGCAGGCAATGGTTGAGTTGGTTGTGAAAGCGAAAGATTTTGGTGAGGTTGAGGGCATGGGTTTGCTCGGGAGGGAATAGTCGTGATCGTCTGTTTTCAGCGCGATGGGAATCCAGGCACAGATAGACAGCACAATCTTAATCTTCCACATGTTGAAGTTGAGTTCATGAGAGACATGTTGTCATGATTGCAAAGATCGTCGTCAACATAGCATGAACCTTCACTCGAAAGAAGGATCCGATTACCCACAAAGGAATCAAAAGAATTGACAGCCGCCCACGCTTCAGCAGGGTCGTTTTCTTAGGATGTGTCTTCTTTCGAAAGGCCATGCATGTCAACCCGAGGCTACCCAGCACCGCATTAGGAGTGACTGACAGATAACTCTACCGCTGAACCATGAATGGCTGTCGAAAATTTGCAGATCATGAAATGCATATAACTGTTCAGTTCTAATTCATTCAATTGAATCCGTGATTGGCGCTGAGCTGATGGTAATTGTTTCGCTCTTTTCGATATTTTTTGGCTGATAGTCCTCGCCTATGTCAACCTCACTCCTTTCACGTCTACAGAATGTCAAAACGTCTCTTTGAAGCACATTTATTGTTTTCGATCCAGAGAGCAATCGAAATCTGGCAGCGTTTCTCATTTGTATCATATCACAGGAACAGCTTTAGGAGCAGGAGCTGAAAGGCTGAAGGATGTTGTTCATGGTTTCTTACATCTCACCCTCCCTGCCCAGTTCAATCAAGTGAGAAGGATTCTTCGCTCATCTGAACGCCATCGATACCAATTTGGGATCAATACAGCGAGCGCTTGGTACCTCGTCTTCAGGAAGTGCCGACAGGCCGGGCGCTGCTCAAACGAGGTCGGCAAGAGAGATGCTATAGGTCGCTCCGGATATAAGCATGAAGTACGCACATCGCGTACGATATGTTCTGATGCCCTAAGGCGGCCGCAGTGGCTCGTTCTGCCCGCGTCCTGCACATGTCAAAGCCGCTGATGGAAAGTTGGGCATACGTGTGATGTACTGCCCGTATCGCCTTCATCAGACCTGGCGGGAAATGCTTTGATACCGATACTGTGGAAATCGTTGTGAGTGAAGTGTAAGGAACGGATTGATGGTGTCTGTCGAGAATGATGATGTTGCTGTCCCGAGAGCAAAGCCTCGGCAACAACACGCCTCCACCGAAGATCGGAGAGCGTTGACCGAAAACATCAACACATCTTGAACACCAGCATTTCCCGTTTCAATTCTTTTGTACAAATTTCCAGCATGGCAGGCGGCAGCACATACACGTGGAGCCACGCTCTTCGCATAGACTCCAAGAAATCACCATTCGAATCACCTCTTCCCCAAACCCACCAAGCCTTCGCTAATGTGAAGCCAGTATCATGGCAGCGACTCAACGTAGGCGGTATCCTAACCACAGTCTACGGAAAGAACGAACTACCGCGACACCCGGAATCAATCACGGCATTCTGGCTCCTCCACGGCCGCGGCGACACTCAAGACTCCATGGCATACACCGCGGCAGCATTGCTCGAAGCATGGAACCAGAAAAGAGCCCAGGTGGGAAGCAGAAAAGGCTTGATATGCATATGTTATGATCAAAGAAACCATGGCTCGAGGATGATTGAAAACGATCATAATTTGTCTTGGAAGCAGGGAAATCCTCAACATGCACAACATATGTTTGCGACCTATTCTGGTACGGCGCATGATCTGAGTCTTTTGATCACGCAGATCGAGTCGCATTTGGAGTTCAAAATTAATGATAATATTGCCGGCGGCGTGAGTCTGGGCGGACATGCGAGTTGGATAGCACTGATGAAAGAGCCGCGGATCACAGCCGGGATGATTGTGGTGGGCTGTCCAGACTATGTACGTCTGATGACGGATCGAGCGATAAGAGCAAAGCTGCGGTCTTGCATGACTACAGATCCGCCGGGACAGGAGTTTCTAGGATCGCCAGATTTTCCGCAATCGCTCGTCGCTGCCGTGGAGCAACTCGATCCAGCCGGAATACTACTGAGCGAGCTGGATGTCTATTCTCCAGAGGATATCAAGCATGAACCATCGCGAGACGAAGTGAAACGCCTGCGAGATATTATTGAGCAAACTCTTGCTGGCAAGAAGATTATCTGTTTAAGTGGCGGGAAGGACAGACTTGTCCCGTACGTTCAAGGCGAACCTTTTCTCACTTGGCTCAAGCGAGGCATCGCTAAAGATAGCTGGGCTGGGGATCAAGGTATTGAACTTGAAGATATCAAAGATCCTGATGCTGGCCATCAGTTCTCTGCGCTGATGCGTAGGGAGGCTGAGCGCTGGATCTGTGATCTGCTATCAGATGACAACAGACCACAGCCAAGAGAAAGCAAAATGTAAACAACTTGGTCGTGACTTCGATGATTGTGCGTGCTATCTGGCCTGCTTACCAGACTTATTGGGCCCTTCTCTAGGAAGGCCATGCTCTCCTGTAAATGCTCTGGTATCCGCATCGTCAAGCAGCCCGACGAGTATCACAGCAATTGCCAACGGGCAAGAGAGCTGCACGCCAATGAATTCTACGCTGTTGTAGAAGACCCGCCAAGACGACTAATTGGGGGTGATGCCTAGATTGGCGAGGTCTCGGACAAAGTCATCCTCGTTCCTAGTCTTAGCTCTCTGGATGGCAGCCGTGATTATGCTCGCATAAGACCAAGTCAGGTCGACACAGCCTTGCGGAACGCCATCATCACGATTGTACTCTTCCGCGAGAGATCCATCCGATGGCGTATAGTACTTCACAGTTCGCAGGAACGCATCGCCCCAACCGTTCAGGCTTCCGATGACCTTTGAAAATTCCTGGCTGTCGATGACATACGTCTGGCCCACTTCAAGCTCAGCATCTGGGACGAAGTACTCGAAAAAGCTCAGCGAGGTGTTGGTGACGGTGAGATTCTCGGCCGAGTTGTACTCATCGGATGCGGCATACATAACCTGCGCGATCGCGGCAGTAGTGAGGTACCAAGGATTTCCACCGTTCTCCTCGGTCCCTGTTCCATTGTACACATCTTCGGGGTAGCGTCCAATGGGCACACCAAGAGTCAGGCCGGAGCCATCTGTCTGCGTTTTGTTCGCGAGCGGGTATGTCTCGGTGAAGCTGGTGACGAAGCGCACGACAGTGGATAGAACTTGGTCGTTGGTGTAGCTGAAAACGGTATCGTTCGCGTAACCATGAATGAGGCCAAGAGGGACCGCAGCATCCAGATAGCTCGACTTGCCGAGAAGTACTGGACCGTATTCGTACAGCAATATGCCTCGGTTGACGTCCCAGAACTGGCTCATTGTCGCAGTCAGAGCATCAAGAGCAGACTTCAGAGTTGCCGCAGTCTCATGGTCATCCATAGTCTCTGCGAATTTGCTGCCCAGGACGAGAGCGCGACGCTGCACCATACGCGTGTAGAAGTGATCCGCACTTTCTTCCTCCCATAAGTCAAATGAGGCTGAAGTCCAATTGCTGGCAACGAAAAGCAGATCTTTCCGCATCGGTGCGGTTGCAGGATAAGTAGCGGAATCGTAGAGCTTCTCCTTCACAGTAGAAAGATTACCACCTGCTGCGAGATAGCTCTCAGCAAATTCAATAAGCGTGGTTGCAGCTGTAGCTGGTCCGTCATTCTGAGGTCGTCCCCAAGGCTTTTCGTATACCGTATTATTCAGGTAGAACTTGGGCTCTCCTAAACCAGTCTGCAGGTTTGGGGCGGTCTGCTCTGTGGCACGAGCAAGTGCGTACTGGAAGAGAATGGCTTCGTATTGCTGCTTGGCGTTACTGTTGTTAGCAGCTGCGTACAGAGTCTGAACGACATCCATTGTCAAGGACGAATCTCGGACCCAGTCGTATCCATAATCTGGCAGCTTCGATTCGAAGAATGGTCCGCTTCGTCCTGCGACTACCACGCCATCGACTGCTCCTTCGATAGCTGGATTGATGTTCGCGAACATCTTGTTGAGTGAGGCCACAAGTTGAGAGCCATTGGCCACTTCGAGGAAATCGGTGATGTCGTCACTGAAGCCTTTCGGCGTGGCGTAAGGTTGTGGTGGCCCAGGCAGTGTAGGCTCTGGTGCACCACTCGCGACAACGTCCAGATTGAGGACCTGGTTGTATTCGCTTCCGGTATCGACTACATCGTAAGTGATATTGAGAAGCTTCGTGATGCCATCGACGTAGACAGGCGTGCTTGATGCCCAAAGCTCGTATGGCGTGCCATCGACACTGCTGTTGTAGCGCAGTCCGATCGACGTCAATGGTGTACTTTGGTCTTGTCGATTCGTGAAATAGAGGTTGACCAGCTTGTTGTATGCAAGATTATTGATGTATGCAGAAGTGCTCAGGATGCCGCCGCAGTAGCTGAAACTTTTGAATACCACATTGCCTTGACTTGGTGTATCGACGTGCAGTACTGTGGTGTTGCAAGACTGGGCGAAGGCGAAGGTGCATCGCAGCAGGCTGATACCGGCTGTCAGTATGGAAGATGGCCACCTCATTCTGGATGATGCGGGGGAGAAGGCAGAAAGATGAAGAATGAAAGACGCGGTACCAAGTGCTTGGAATACCGTGCTCAACAGCGGGCGGCACTGTCATAACGATGCAAGCAGATCTTGGGAGCTGATTACGACATGCATTGGAAGGTGCCACCACAAGTCGTGCCGGGACATTACTGTAGTGTTTTTGTTGTCATGTGATGGAGATTGTTCATCGGCGAACCGGGTCGGCCTCGCAAATTGCACGCGCTAGTGTGAGCCAGTGAGCTTCACGGAATACCTTTGTCACTTGGACGAGCACAAGCATAGTATGGTTGAGCTCGGCGACTAGACTTGGTGTGATACAGAAGGGCGAGGCAGCAGTTCAACGTTTCATGGAAAGGATACAAGTTTGTGTGTCGCCGGAAGCCTTTGTGAGCGTAGTCCCAGCCATCTCCAGCCCAGCCTTCGTTGAACACAGCATAGACAAGTTGAGCAAGATCTCGTCCTGCATGAAACTCGTATGCTGATCAATACATCGCTGCTTTCTAGCACCTCGACCTCCATACTCCCCCATCTTCTGTGCCGCCTCCTCGTCCTCTAAGCGAGCTTTCGCTATATCCTCTTTAGGACTACCCAGAACTGATTGCTTTCTGATTCGTCCCAGCCTATATCCTCTGCGTAGTACGAGAAGGGCGCTCCACGATTAATTCTGATCGTCTTGAGCTGTTTGTGCCTCTCATCTTGCATGAGAGCCCAGAGCTGATCGTCGAGAATGTCAGGATCATCAGCCGTGTGGTCCACCATTCTCAAGAGCCGTAGTGACTCCGGTAGGATCTCAGCCAGTTGCGGGTAGCGCTCAGGCCGGTCCTGTTCCCTGCCAAAGAATGTCGTATATGGAGCCGTGAGCTCCCTAAGAGAAGCAAGTGAAGCCATTGAACCAATTGAAGTCCTATGATCGTGAGATTCATCAAAGCAGGCAGCCATCTCGGGCTTCAAACGGATCACTTCGAGGTTTGCACCAAAGGTGCGAAGGGTCTGGCCGAACATGTTCATATCGATGCAACACTCGCCAACCGTAGATCCAGCCCACTCGACGGAGAGCGTTGTTAGGGAAGGACATGCCTGCAGGATGCTTTCGAGACCTAGATGATCTAGGAGCGAGTATTGAAGGAAGATCCGCTTGACCGGCGATCGCACGGTCCTCGGTAGTGGCCAAAGTTGATCACAAGCAAGCATATGTCCTCGAAATGTCCTGAGCCTGGGTAGCTGCAACAGATCATGGACATCAGCTATGCTTGTATGTCCTTCGGTGTCGGAATGTGCCACATGGAGCTCCGACAAGTGCTCCAGTGGTCTTTTCTTGTCAGCATGGCTGGAGGGCATGTGAACTGCTTCTGCTACTCGCAGCACAAAACTTGATGGAATATCGACATCGCAGACAATGTCAAGATGTCGAGCATTCGTGCACAGCACGAGTAACAATGCAAGCTCAGCGTCCGGGCATGCTGGATCGTTAGAAAGCATGTTTTGGAGGTCATCTTTCAAGTCCATGGGCAGGCTGCTTGCAGTCATAGCGTTCCGAATTTGCGTTACAAGCGCAGCTCCCCCAAGCGCAAGCTCCTCGGGGCCATCCGATTCCTGGATGAGGATGAGGCCACGACTCCCGACATCCCAGTCTTGCAGACGAATCTGCTGGACATGACTGGCTGCATCTGGATTGTACAGCAGCGCTCTTATGAACTGGCGTAGCCTCGTGGTATCAATGTGGGTCCGGCAATCGATCGTCTGATACAGGTGATGCTCGACAATTCGATTGAGAGTCTTGCTCGAACGTGCAATCGAAGCTAATGTCGAAAGCCTGAGCTGGTCCTCGTTGCGCCGAGCCAGGTCAGCCGTGACGCACAAATGGCTGAAGATGCGATCAATGATCTCTTCGGGTAAATTGTGTATCATTGTGGCGGTGAGGTTTGGATGAGGGAGATGAAGCATGAGACTACCTTACCAAATGCTGGGCCAGAGTTCTGCCTGGCTTGAGTAGGCAACAACAGCCGCTAATGTTTCTTGGCGAGCTTACGGCAGAACCTGGTCTCCAGAGTTGGTCGTAGTATTCCTAATCGTTCTGTGCGATCCGGAATGGCTCGTGGACTTGCGAGTGTGGTGCAGGATCGTTGAAATGATCAGGTGAACTGGACCTGATCAGCTGGGCGACGTCTGCAGCGTCCAAATTGCTGATTCCGACAACAGCACTGCACCGTGCTTGTGGCTCCAGATGCTATTCGGGACGGGGTCTGGCTTAAGCACGTGCAATCGCTCGTCACAAGGATATGGTAAGTGAATGAGTCTTGAGATGAAATGAGATGGGTATGAGTGTTTGGCGCAGCAACAGGGATGTGACGCACATTTGCCTGAGGCTGAACCCCGCGTCTTCGGCTCGGGCAGCTCCTTCCGCTTGTGAACAGGGTTGCGTCGAATTTGGAGTCATAAAGCACGACTTGAGATCTCCATCCAAACACCACTCAACAAACATTTCAGTCCAAAGCCCAATCACTACCCAGAACACAGACATCACCGTAACAGCGCGCACATTCGAGATCGCAATCATGGCGGAAGAACCGCAGAAGCGGAAGTCCGTTGCCTTCGCCGAGGGTCAGACGATTGTCGACGGCGAAGGCAACGTAACCCATGCCACCAATGGAGTTCACGATGGCGACAAGGACTCCGCCGAATCACACAGCAAACCAGAGACCAATGGCGACGACAAGGAAGTCGATGAGGTGACGGCCATGTTCGAGGGATTGGCTAAAAAGAAAAAGAAGAAGTCTTCGAAGAAGGACAAGGAGGACGCCGAGGATGCTGCTGCAGAGGAGAAGGCGGCAGATGATGGCGAGGTCGACCTCTCGGCGCTGAAGAAGAAAAAGAAGAAGAAGGTGAAGGCACCTGAAGACGACTTCGAGAAACAGCTGGCTGAGGCCGGCGCCACGGAAGACAAGGAGGAAGAGGCTGAGAAGGAATCCGGCGAGAGTGGTCTACAAGACGGCGACATTCACGGCGGCACCGGAGTGTGGAAACATGATGAGACGAAACCCATCAGCTACGAGAGCTTACTCCACCGATTCTTCGTCCTCCTACACGACTCACATCCAGACCTTGCTTCTGGCGGAGGCAAGAGCTACAAGATTCCACCTCCACAATGTCTTCGTGAAGGTAACAAGAAGACCATCTTCGCCAACATCGCCGATATCTGCAAGAGAATGAAGCGGACGGATGAGCACGTGACGCAGTTTTTGTTCGCTGAATTGGGTACAAGTGGTTCCGTGGACGGAAGCAGAAGATTGGTCATCAAGGGTCGGTTCCAGCAGAAGCAGATTGAGAACGTCCTGAGACGGTACATCAGTAAGTTTGAAACGACCACATCTCCCGTGAAGTCCTACTAATATTCTGTCCAGTGGAGTACGTTACCTGCAAGACCTGCCGTTCACCCGACACCGAGCTCAACAAGGGAGAGAACCGTCTCTATTTCGTCACCTGCAACTCATGCGGTTCTCGTCGCTCTGTCACCGCCATCAAGACTGGTTTCTCTGCCCAAGTTGGCAAGCGCAAGCGTATGCAAGGTTAAGCGCTTTTTGGATGACCTGGTATGTTTTATGTATGCTATACGCTTCCCTTGATCGTGCAAGTTGTTTCCTGGTGTGCAGGCGGAGCCTCTGGGACGAGCATGAGAGGCGTTCTGGGAACGAAGCATTGAGCGGCATGACCGGAGGCATTAGATAGCTCAAAATGGGAGCTCGGTTTCGTATAATCCCATCCCATTCCCTTACTTCTCGGTTCTGATGCATTCGACTGTTTGGACGCTCCAGCGCATTGGGTGGTATTGCACAACAGCTGCTCACGTGGTCTTGGGCCGAAACGCGAACCGCTCGGCGGTGGTTGATTGGCTATGGAAAAGAAGGCAACAAGGCGGCCTCGCGCGAAATCGGTCTCGCGATTGTATTGCTCCTGGGATTGTATTCTGCTTCGACCATGGACTCAACACAACACAATCGCGTCCCCCATTAGCCCGCATATGTCTTCTCTCAGCTGCACTGGCGCAATCATCTTTGCTGATCCTGTATATGGCCGTAAAGCAGAAAGATGGATACTCGATGAATTCCACGAACCGTCATCCCCCATTGCGGCACTCACACATGAATATGTTTTCGGCTCGCTCGGCCTGGACAAGATGATATTGGTCTATTGCAAGCCTTCGAACCTCCACAATGGCCATCTAGTGTCGGTCGTGCTCGAGCTCAAGGTTCGCTTCCAGATCAAGTTCATTTTATGCATTGGACGAACATCCGGCAGAAATAATAAGCACAGCTCCATGCGAATGGAGGCTTTTGATATGGATGGTCTCAAGCATACTGCAACATCGCTCTCAAGGTCGCCATCACTCCTCCTTAATCTTGTTGACACTCCACGTACAAAGTCGACCTGGGATCCGACTGGATTGACATTTCTGTCACTTCGCGGCACTCTGAAGCCAAAGAGGCGTGGAAATAGGTACAATGTGTATTGCAAAGACGAAAGCCTCTTCGAATACCTCACGTTGGAGAAACTCTTCGATTTTGACCAGGGAATTGCAAACGAAGACCAACAGGAAATTCTCAACGTCTTCCGTGACATTTTATGTCTAGAACTTGATGGACATACCGAAGACCTGCAGGACTTGACGCGCTTGGCTATCCTCGGGCTTTTGGACTTTTGCAGAACAGTTCCGAATGCAATATCGCAGGTCTACAACACTTCCTCGGCCGCAGCCTGGGCGACCAAATTTACCATGGACAGTATTGCCATTGCTGAAGCGGCCACATTGAAACCAGACGTGCACGCAATGAGCAGCTATGTCTACAGCCATAACATAATTGGCGGCCATGCTGTTGTGCATCTTGGGAACAATATCAATTATCATCGACCATCAATGGGCTCTCCAACAGTATCGGGAGGCGCTATATCTGCCTGGGGTCCAACAGCGCTTTGCGGCTTAATGGTGGCTTACAACATGCACAATATGCACAAGCTTGCTGAGAGTCTGGATGACGCAAGCAGAAAGAAAGCTAAGAGTGCACAAGGCGTACAGGTGCAGACAACTCCAACATATGTCTCGAGGCCTGCGACCAGGAACTTGGGTGCAAAGAACATTGCCGAATCGCCACGGAAGCAATCAATTCACGCAAGCGAAGAACTTCCAAATTCCGCAACCGGGGTCTTCAAAACAGCCATCGACAATACGCACGCAACAATTGGAGGCGCTAACGATTTTAGCTCTATTGGAGTCAATGATGAAGACCATTTGGAAGCAGCATGGAATCGTGCGATAAGCTTATCACCGAGACGAAGACAGAATGTGAGTACTTTAAGAGAGTTTGGCTCGCGACTACCGTATGTCAACTGACTTATTCTACAGGAGCCCTCAACATATCAAAGCATCAAGCCCACGCCTTCTTATTCCCAGCCTGACAGGACCTCACCAAATCCGCCTACTTCAGGAACATCCTGGACGGGGTCACACAATACCAATGTTCTACATCGCGGCTATACAAACTCGACACGGTCTAGCAATGATACATACTATCCTGGTATCGCGCATGAACATCGACCTCACTCTCGTGTGTCAAAATTGGATAATAGATTCATCGGTCCATCGAAATTCAAAAAGGGCGATCAAGTCTGCATTTCCGACGGACGATCTCCACCGTCCGCGGTTTTCGAAATCACCGAGCTTCGTCCAGGAGAAAGGTACTGGCAGTACCGTTTCCAGACGAGCGCCTCCCGTTTCGAATCCGCAGCAAGACGTCGCGATAACGAATGGATTTCAGAACCGCAGCTCAGCGCTGCGCCTGCTCATTTGCTGCCACTCCTGCGGCCTCAAGATGCATTCCTACTTCAAGGTGCCATGACGACCGCCCGGGGTAACAGTTCTACGAGTCAACGACAGTCCTCTCGACGAGAACAGGTTGTCCGAGAAGGGAGCAAACTAGATAATTCTTTCGACCTGTGGTAGACTTTACATGGAACGCGAGAACATCGGCCTCTCATTCATGTCTACTCAAGATCAGGAGAAGTCTCAGTACACTATCCTGTGTGATCTCCATCGTTCGGGAAACGACGCGTTGAGCGGCATGACTGAAGACATTAAAGTAGCACTATAGAAGAACTTGGTTCTACGGTCATTGAACCGGAAGACCAAGAGTCCTACATTGTTCTACGCCGTGAACTCTGGGTAATTCTGGAAGGAGCTGTGCCGGGCATACATACGTAGTCGTGACGCATATTCCCGCTGCCTTTGGACTACGGCACGATTATGACTATCCACGGTGTGGGCATAGTATCCCGAGTTATTACAGCAGCGCTCGTAAGACAGTTTAGAGAAGTATAGAAACGCCTGTAATCGTAACCCCACTTTCCACTTTTCGTTGCTTGTGCTAATGTACTCTCGGACTTCGAGCTGCTTATATAGTTTTCAACTTAAGCTGTACTCCAATTGCTCTCCGAATTCCCTTCCTTCGCGAGCCTCGCTACGATATCTGCGATCCAAATCAACGCATGTTGACGGTATGACTTTCTTTGACGAGCTTGCCGAGAAAATAGGAGATGAAGACTGGAACGAATGGAAACAACGAGTTCCCGGCGCGAAGGACCAGATTGGCCGAAGTGCTCGATTGGTTCCAAGGCTCCTTCAATTTTTGCCTCCAAATCATGTACAGCGACGGCACTCCGGACACCATCATTCGCTTTCCAGGCCCAGGGCATACAACGTTTCGGGATGAGAAGGTTTTGAACGAGGTTCAGGTCATTGAGTTTCTCCAGCAGAATAGAATACTACCATTCCAGCCCCGCGGTTAATCAGTTGGGGGCTGACTGAAGACAGCCCGCAGCATTTTGGACCGTTCATCATCTCAGACTTCAGAGAAGGAGTTCACCTCTCTGACATTCTCAAAGATCCCAGCGATGCGAAGCGACTCCACTTGAAGCCTCAGATTGACAGAGGCATATCAGACGATGTGTTCTCACAAATCGCGGATATCATGCTTCAACTATATCGCTTCAACTTCGACCATATTGGAGCCATCTCAAACACTTCTTCCACGGGCTTCTGGTCCGTTACGGGGAGACCTCTGACCTACAGCATGAATGAGCTAGCGACTACAGCCTTCTACCCTCTGGACAAGTTTCCCACAGCACGGTTCGAATCTGCAAGTGAATACTTCCGATCTCTGATCGCTCAGCAGAAAACACATCTTTGGACACAGCGTAACCTCTGTAGCACCCCGAGAGACGCCCAGGACCGGTACATATCTCGCGCAATTAGTCGACAGGAATTGCACAGATGACCGCGGTCCATTCAAACTCTTCTGCGACGACCGTCGACCTCAAAACATCATTGTGGATCCCACTACTCTCCGCATGAAGGCGGTGCTTGATCTCGAATTTACGAACGCTATGCCTAGCCAATTTGCTTCCGAACCGCCTTGGTGGCTGTTGCTAGTCGGACCCGAATCCTATCTTCTTCGACGTCGGACTATCGAAGAATTCATAGAGGCTTACGAACCTCGCTTGGATCAGTTTCTTGCGGCGATGGAACGAGTTGAGAAGACTCGAGAGGCCTCAGATTGTCACCAGTCTCTTTCCTCCGTTATGCGTGAGTCATGGGCGACGAAACGTTTCTGGTTCAATTATGCGGCCCGGAAACCTTTCGACATTGACGAGATCTTTCACAGTTGTTTGAAAGAGGGCAGTGCTAGTGTTGAGTCGCTGGATGAAGAGACACGCACAGGCTTGGGAACCTTCTTTGAGACGAAGATGAAGCAGCTGAAGGCATACGATAAGGATTGCGCGATGCATCTCTAGTCCGCAAGCCATTCTAGTTTGTAATTTAATTGTAGTATCAAGAAACGCCCTGCTGGTAGAACTCTAGACATATCTCATCTCAGCTCCAGAAAAACCGCTATTCGGCGAAGATGGAGCTGGCACCCCCAGCCTGCGGTGACTGAGAAGTTGTGCGATCCTGATATCTCAGGAGAAAGGAGTAAGGTAAGGTATATTTGAACAAAGCCAGCGCTTCTCCAATTGGAGAAAAACATATGTATGAGGTGTTGACGCCGCAATGAATGTGTACAGAGGTGGAAGATCCAATTCTCTTCCGATGTTGTACATGGCCATGTGAGACAGAAATCCATCCTCGCGGGCGATGGAAATAGGTATGAAGCCATCGACTTTCAGATAAATATCTCACCGACTATCGGAGTGACTGACGACCCTTGGAAATTTTCGACTTTCCGGGTTTGTCTTCCACAGAAGTCGCACAATCCGGAAATTGAGTTTCCATCGCGGCATGCTCTCCAGAATCGTTCTTCTCAGGTGGTACTGGCGTAGAAGACTTCGATTCCGCCGTCGAATTCGTCTCGGAGAAGTCTGTAGGTAAAGTGTCCGTTGGCGGGTGAGGAGATTCAAGCTGTGCCTTGCTGACAGCCATATCATCATCGTCGTCCCCCACCAGAGCCAGCAATTTGTAGAGGCAATGACTCCCCTCGAGACATAGTACCTTGTGCAGATAAATGACACATGACTTGACATTCAAGTATACGCGTCCATATGCCTCGAAACGGAGCTTGTGTTTTGGATTTTGCGCATACGCCTGAGCAAAATCCTCAATTTTTCCAAGCACGTTCAACAGACGCATAGGCTCGTCCTTGCCAACATCGTCGTCGTCCCTTCTCTCACAGGTAGCTTCAAACTCCACACTCTGTTCATCTTCGTCCGGCTTGTCCAGAATCATAATCCGTAAGCTAACGTTTTTCCCAGGACGGCTGTCAGGGTAGGGCATACGGATAATAATGTCGAGTTCGCTCACGAATGGTATAGCCATGTTTTGGAGACATCGGTCGCGGAATTCATCCAGAAGTTTATTGTCTGTGCATCTTTCGCGGAGATCTTCCAGCTTGAAATTGATCATAAATCTGTGATCGGCTAAAAACTCGGTTATGGCTTCTCCTTCGTACAAGGACGTCTCTCGATGAATTTGACCAGAGACACTAGACAAACAGACGTCCGGGAGAACTTCCTCGTCGACTTGCAGAAGATCCACATCATAGGGCAGCCGGTCGTCGCAGACATGTTTAAATATCCGGTTGCGCAGCTCTCCAGGCAAGTCGGGCAAAGGGAAAGGGGATCGCTGTCCTCCTCCCGCGATCCCGGTGTTCTCGACTGGCATGTTTTGGCATCTTTGCTCCACAGTGTCAGTGGTTGCCGCACTTTCCGTGCGCTCGGGTGAGGCGTCAGAAGTTCTCGATGCTGTCACATTAAGCAGAGGCATGATCTGCGACCACATGCTTGGTCGAGAGGAGGTCGAGTGTGCCTTGGACTGCTTATATTTCGACATTATGAGTGAGTGAGATGATTGATAGCTGCTGAGTTGCAGGTAGGCGTGTTCTGTCTGGAAAGCGTTGTAATTTTTACCAAGGAGCGATCGTGGTGAAAATGGATTTTTTTTACCTCTGACTTTGAATATATTTATGTTCTGCTCTGCGCGTAGAAGCTAGTCAGCATGAAAGCACTTATGCTCGACTGTAGGTTGGATCCAATAGCAATTTTTGCATTTGAGCTGTTGTGAGGACACAACGAGCAGCCGGTTGCCAGCTTGTCATTCTCATTAAGGTAGTGGTCGGAGAGGGAAATATATTTTTCATGGTCGCCGTGAATTTTGATTGTGGGTTCTCTTAATATTTAAGAGTATTTCGTCGTTGCCTTTCCTTGGTATAGATCCTCGGCTTGCGTCTCGACACCATTACCACAGAAAAGAAGACCACTGCTCGGTCATCGAAACGTTCATGTGCCTGCATATCCATGTGCGAAAGATTTCATCAGTCGATATCACACTTCGTGGCAGGCCAACTCTTACAATGCTCTCAATCACGTCAAGATAAGCGAAGCCGAGTGGGAAATCCGATCTCGTAATCATTTCTATGCATATTTTCAGTACGATCATGACTTTGAAAGACTTACATACAACTCATTTTGTCATTACTCCGTGCTCCTCGCTCGCTCTATCCGAAGATGGTCCTTCATTATGCCATGCTCCATCAATTTCTTGACCTCCTCTAGGTGGACCGAAATACTCCGCCATGCTATGCTCTTTCATGCGGAAGCTAGATGTCAAGCCTCTGTCGCTTGCTCCCACTTGGTTCGGTAGCAGTCGCATTCGGAGTAGGCTCTTCTCCTCCGATCTCGACTATCTCCCACTGAACGCTGGATGTGCCGTCTCTTGAAATTTCGCCACCTCGCTGCCGCTTGATTCTACCTAGCCGACTGTGCTCGATCATCTCTTCAAAGTACGGCACACCACGGCTGTGCATTCGATGTGGGGCTGCTGCACGCTGCTGAGATGTTCTCACCGGCACGGTAGTGGCTCCCGTAGGCGGTGCGTCAACACCACCAGGTCTGTCCTCGTTCGTAGGTATGTGATCTTCGTCGTCAACGCTGCCGCCTTTCACAAGGTCTTCCGTTTGGCTCCGCACTGAATCCTGATCCGAGTCGTTGTCTGGTAAAATCTTCAAGCTTTCCAGCCTGGCCAAGCTCTCGTTCAGCAAGGACGACAATGTCACATCTAACGTATCATCTCGACCACTATATCCTCGAGCTTGCTGTGCCTCATTGTACGCTGTGAGTGTTGTGCCGCAGTAACCGCAAAATTGTCTTCGTGTTGGTGCGAGGATTCGATTCGAGGTTGGAGTATGGAATGTTCGTTTGATCGAGGCATGGCTCTCGTCGGGGAAGTGTGCAAAGGTTGCGCTGCTGTACCAGTCAAGAGGTACACGCAACCAAGCCGTCACTGGCGCTGCTGTAGCGCGACCTGGCAAGACTTTTTCAGTATCATATACTCAAATGCTATGTCAGCAATACTTACGACTGGAATTGCTGTTGTCAAAGAAGACCTGTGCCAATGAAGCAGATTCTGGAGGAAAGGTGATGTTGTAATAGTTTCTCTCGCAAGCGCATGCGCCCACGAGACGATTGAGATGCGCCATATTGCGGTGGGTTAGAGTACTTGCACCTTTGGAACTGACTACTCCGAGCCTTTTCAGCCCAATGTGGAGGGCTGTTCTATTGTTTGTTGATGAGAGTCCGAGCTGTCGTCGTCGAGGAGGTGCATGTGCAGGAGAAGGTTCGAGCTGCTGCCAGAAGGGTCAAGCCATTGGCTGTGACGACGGCCAAGGAGCCAGGATACCATGCTCAGGCGATGATCAAGCCATAAGTCTCTACACTCCCAGGAACGGTTGATACATACTCGATGATGCTCAGAATCATCATTTGTTCAGGTTTAACGGGTCAGCAGCTCGAAGGACTTGAGGAATTTCAGCTTCACTTAGGATGACTGATATAGTGATGAAGGTTGGAAGGAAGAGTAGATCCGATTTGTCCTTCTTATACAGTACAGTACAGTATGCATAACCCTAGCTGATACAAAGACTCATGCCCCAAAGCCGAGCGTCTGGTTTGCCTTATGGATAACCTCCTGCTGACCTGGAGTCAACCCGGGCTCCGAACTGTCCCACTCCTTGAATCCAAAAGCTCGCATTCCTTCCACAGGATTGACCTTCCTCACTTCCTCGACGCCAGGTCGTCCAATATGCTCGCTTTCGCCTTTCCCGCCCCCAAAGTCAGGACAAGGATAGCCGGCAAGGAATGCCTCTCGTTGACGAGCGACGAATTCCGCATTTGAGACCGTCAATGGACATGCTGGGATATACAAGACACTGGAGTCAGATTTCCCTGCGTGGACTCGATCTACCGCATGAATGGTGTCGCAGTGCCAGCTCACATAGTCCCCAGGATTGACCCGCGGCACGTGGACCATTGAGCTAGGTAGATTCAGATGTGGATGAAGTTGAGCGCGAAGTTCCTGACCATGCCCTGGTGTAGCACCATGCAGCCACGAGTCTGGATCCTTCGACAAGGTCCAGTTTTCAGGTGATAGAAAGGCCTCTTCGTAAGTCTCCGCAGTTGGATCTTGGGCGGGCTTCTTGGGGGAGAAAAATGGCCGCAGCAGATAGTAAGCCGTCGCTCTGCTGAGAAGTGGATTGACCAGCAATGTGCCCTCAAATGGCCCTGTCGAGCTCATTGAAAGCCAACCTTGAAACATGCGAAACATGCTGCATGCACCGACGCCTTGATAGAGGTCTGACACAACCGGAAGACGACAGCTCGACTCCCAAGGGTCATATTCTTCCCACTTGCCTTCGAAGATCTTGTCATACACATGACCACGACCATAGCCGTTTTCCTCCCAGCGTTCGCATGAGCCGCCGTCCACGTGAGGCCCTAGAGCGAATTTTGTATCACCTGGCAAGCGCATGCGAAGACGATCCGCATAGATCATAGGGTGGCTAGACGATACTGGGGCAGTGGGATCCTTGGAATGCCAGAACTCCATGAGAAATCTTTGTGCCTTGATCAGACTAGGATGTGAGCGTGCCTTGATCTGAGATGGTGACCAGTAAAGTTCATAGACCTGTGGACTTTCTGGTGGGAAAGCCTTGGTGTGAGGATTCGCTTCGATGTACTCTCTGAGCTCCTTCTTCAGCGCCAAAGCCTCCTGTTCTGGAATGACATTTCGAACGACTGCAACACCACGCTTCTTGTGTTCAGCTCGGAATTCCTCACTCGCGTGGTCAATGTCGTTGAAGTCAATCTCGGGCACGATTCGAGGGCCTTTTTCTGCGATCAACGGTATCTCCTCTCTCAAGGAGGCCAGGAGCCGGTTCCAGGAGTCATACAGTTCTTCTTCATGCCCTGCTATGAGTCTTGATTTGAGCTCCGCGAAGCGTGGCTCGAGTGGCTTGAACTCGATCCCAGACAGGCTTGCGAACGCATCTGAGATGTCGCCTTCACGTTTCTGTGCTGATGCTGATGCCATTGCGGCTGTCCGAGTCTGTTGTCCACACGCTTGCTGCCAAGACTGAAGTCCTCTTTGACTGCCTCGCACTGTCGCTCGTAATGTGGAAGCCATGTGATGGAAGAAGGAAGTGTGCAAGGAATTTTAACACTCACAAACAGATGATCTGCTGCAGGTCAGCAGGAAGAGCAGGCCCGATACGGCATACCTTTTAACTGCTTCTCAGCAAGCGGAGCAGGTATACTGTCACCCATGTCAATGGCGGCGGCCGACCACAACAGCTTCGGAGTGGTGAAGAAGGGAGCTTGGGTTCGTCGGCATTTGAAGGCGAGCAAAGCGGAGGCGGACTTCCTAATTGGGGCCTCCGCTTGCGTGTTGTGGTATCGGCCTTCATGACTGTTGTTTTGGTGCAGGAATGTACACTTCCTTTGGCAGCACTTGGCCATATTTGTCCGCGTCAGCTCACACTCTTCGGTATCTGCATTGTTCACTCCCCCACTCAGATCATCTCGCGACATTATCGTGTGGCGCCTGACTTCTCACGTACCGGACTCGGCTTCCGGGCCTTCCAGCCGTAGAAGCAATAATGTCGTACAGTAGAATAATTGCTAGGCCTGCCGGTATTTCTCAGCGCTGCCCTGCTGCGAACCAATGTGCGACATGGAGATTTCTGTGGTACCGATCCATACCCATGTCGCGCCGGGGTTCGATACCCATATATCTTGCCGCGCAGCTTAAATGCACTGCACGTCTGTCTCCGCGTGCTCCGTTCCTGAAGCGACATGGACGTGTTCGCCGCGCACCGCGCAAAGCGTATAAAAGTCGTTGCTGCTTCACAGTGAGTGCTCAGAGAATTATTTCTGCTCATCAGCTCGCGCTGTCATGTCTTCCGTGCACCTACCTAGAGACTTCTTGTGGGGCTATGCAACGGCAAGGTGAGTACATGTACTGTAGAGAAAAGGTGGAAAGGCGATCTTACAGGAGCTGAAGAATGAATGGCGACGCGTACATTTCTGCGCGTAATCTGTCACGTACTGACCTTTAACCAAAGCTACCAAATCGAAGGCGGCGCCCACGAGGACGGGAGAGGCGACAGCATATGGGATGTGTTCTGCCGACAAGTAGGCAAGATTGCTGACGGCTCAAACGGAGACGTGGCATGCGACTCGTATCATCGCTACAAGGAAGACGTCGCGCTTCTCAAGCAGCTTGAAGCCAAGGCATATCGATTCAGCATCTCGTGGTCCAGAGTGATACCGCATGGTGGACGGAACGACCCCGTCAATGAAGCAGGGCTCCGCTACTACAAAGACCTGGTTGAGGAGCTAATAGCGAATGGCATCGAACCTATGGTGACGCTGTTTCATTGGGATCTTCCACAAGCTCTTTACGATCGGTATGGTGGCTTCTTGAACAAGGACGAGTACATTCTAGATTTTGTGAGCTACGCGCGCTTGATGTTTAAGACTCTTGGTGAGAAGGTCAAGTTCTGGATCACCTACAATGAGCCCTGGTGCAGCGCAATCCTGGGATACAGTACCGGGTACTTCGCGCCAGGTCACACGAGTGATCGTGCAATCAGTAGTGTAGGAGACAGCAGCACAGAACCCTGGAAAGTTGGACACAACATCCTACTCGCACATGGGGCTGCCGTGAAGGCATACAGGGAGGAATTCAAGCCGACGCAGTCTGGGATGATAGGAGTATCAACGATGATCAGACCTGTGCCAAGGCAACATCGCTGACTGCTTCCCAGATCACGCTCAATGGCGACTGGGTTGAACCGTGGGATCCAGCTGACTCGGCGGATGTGGAGGCTTGCGAAAGGAAGCTCGAATTCTCAATAGGATGGTTTGCCGACCCCATCTACCACGGCGATTACCCTGCGAGTATGCCACACTAAAGAGAGACAACCGGCTTGAATGCTGTCAACTGACTCTTCTGACCAAGGTATGCGGAAGCAACTTGGTTTGCGACTGCCAGAATTCAGCGCGGATGAGAGGGCGCTTGTGCAAGGCTCAAATGACTTCTACGGGATGTAAGATTTCCTCAGCTTGTTCGAAGCTGCTATAGTCGTCTCAGCGGAGAAGCCGATGTCCAACCGTTGAGCGCTGCGACTGATATTCGCCAGGAATCACTACACTGCAGACTTCGTGCGGAACTGCGACAGGGATACTCCCAGTGCGGAGAACTTTAACGGCAACCTCGAAGTCTTCAAGACCAATAAAGCCGGGGACAGCATCGGGCCGGAAACTCAGTCTGTATGGCTTCGACCATTCCCAAGCGGCTTTCGAAGACTGATGACATGGATCTCTGATCGGTATGGACGACCGATTATTTACGTGACAGAAAATGGCACGTCGTTGAAGGGAGAAAGCGACTTGCCTGTGGAGCAGCTACTCGAGGACGAATTTCGGGCAGAGTATTTCCGCACTTACATCAACGCCCTCGCAGAGGCCTATACGATCGACAAAGTTGATATCAGAGGTAAGTCCGACTCTTGTTCCTGCATCTGGTGGTATGATCGACAACAACCACAGCGACAACCACAGAACTCAGCTGACAGATCTGCCGCTCAAGGCTATATGGCCTGGAGTCTGATGGAGTAAGTATAGCCCACAACCCTGTTTCAAAGGCATCGGGGGAGCTGATCCGTGATACACTAGCAACTTCGAGTGGTCTGAAGGTGAGTGCGCAACGTCATTTGTCCCTACCACGAGAGACAATTTTGCCGACGTATTATACCTAGGATATGAGACAAGATTTGGAGTAACATGGGTTGATTACAAGAATGGTCAGCGGAGGATGCCAAAGAAGAGTGCGCGTGTCATTAGTGAGGTATTCTCATCGTTGACCCGCGGCCAAGGCGCATGATGTGGTTGAAATGATTTCTGGCCCGGCCGCCGTGATCCTACTGCACGTACTATTGCCTTTCGTGGCGCCGGTATGCGTCTGCATCGACCACCACGTATCGATCTGGTGGTTGCAAGGATGGGCGGGCCGGGTTTCGTCCGATTATAGTTTGGTCGTTTCATACTTCTATAGCTCTCCAACCAGGCCAAGAATCAGCGATGCAAGAGTGTAGAAAGTCAATCAGGTCGAATGACAACTCTGGTTGGTAGCGTTCACGCAGACTCTCTTGCATCCCAGCTAGATGGGCAGTATTTTTTGGCCGCATCCCTGAAGTCGAGAGGTGTTGGACAATAGAGTTGATAATGCGAGCATTTGGCGAAGCATACTGACGTCCTCAGGCCTGCGATGCATGAACCGGACTGGCCGAGACCGGCTACTTTCCTCACTTGGTTGTAGCCAGGGCGTGATTTTTGTCTCAGTCACGCGATCCTGCAATCAGGCCCCACAGGTGCGGGTGGACCGCGCCTGCTATATGCTAGAATTGGAACAACAGCAGGAGCGTTTATTTCTCATCTTAACGCAATTTGGTGGCGAGCTCAACCATGAATTGCGTTGCCATTGCCTAGGTCTTGGGTATATGTGGACCTTGGGTATAGAAACGTGGGAACGTGTGAAGTCGGAACATTGTTTGCACAATTCGACTGTGGACTCGGTTGATCTTGATGCCCAGCTGATGATCGCCGGCAACCTGAGCGCAGATCCGAGTTGGTCGGATACATATCGCGGCTGCTTAATAACGAGGCTGGAGAGCGGTTTCAGCAGCATCGGATCGTGGGTTGCGACTAGAATGAATCAATTGATCAGGACTGTCGGCATCATGAGACACTCATGCTTCTGTTAAGACGAATGTTAAATGAAGAAGGTCGTTCCTGCGTGTGCAATAAGATGGATATTATGAATACGCCTGGTTGTTTTCGAACAGCCTGCTGCATGAATGCGGTGCCAGGCAGAGGGGTCGACCGCGGTTAGACTTCCAATGGCGCTGCTTTGTTGCCATTGTGCACAGAATATGAAGGGTGCCAAAACTCCCGACTCATGCAATATGATGATGGTTGCAGAGATGATTGAGAGGAGAGTTTGCGGCTGCAGTCAAAGTCGCGATGATGCTGCAATGCAGGAGCGGGCGGAGACGGGAAGAGTGCGAACCTTCGTTCTGCTCTCTTTTGCTTGGCCAGAAGCGTTGGCAGCTTCGACTTGGGGATGCCGAGCGACAAGGGCATCTCTCGATGTTGGCGCGCACAGGACAGCGCCGATCGAGGCTTGCTGGCACCAGCTGGTGTCACTGGCGCGGGCATCTCCAGAGCCCTTAGCATTAGCGTCCACGCTCACCGCCTGCAGATACGGACTATGCTGCGGTATTTCGCTGCATGTTGAAGGACGTGGTTGTTGAACGTGACCAGCGCGTGATGCACGCACATTGGATTGGGCACAAGCAGAAGAGCGTGGTTGAATGCTGTTTCAAGGGTGTGTTTTGGGTGGGCGATGGGGAGCAAGTCGCTGATGGGCAAGCGTGAAACAGCATTGGCTCTGCGCAGTGGTTGCTCATGAATCGATGACCCGCATGAAAGTAAGCCGAACAACCAGAATGTGGAGGCAAAGACGACAGCCACAACGCAAGAGCAGCGTCAGCGTCACGGGCGGTGCTGCAGGTTGCGTTAAGCTTTCGGTCACAGTCGAGGCTGGGATCGCGATGGCGGTCTTGCAGAGCACGCACGGTTCAACGTTTCCGGCCAAGCAGTCTTCCCGGCGAACTCTGCGCTCGGGAAGCTGTCGGCATCCCGTCGGATGCACGTGTAGGTTCGTCGGCGTGCAGCAGACGGTGGGCGTGGGAATGCGCGGTGGAGAGGAGTGGATGGGCGTGGAAGGCCGGCTCTGCGCACGTCGGTGGTCGCGGAAGGGGTGGCTTTAGGGTAAGTGGAAGCTTTGGAGCGTGTGAGATGAAGCATGTGGTGGCCGTGGCCATGCAGGAGAGCAGAGGCGGTGGTTGTGCTCGAGCGCTTTGCAAAGTGTAAAAGAAAAGAAGTGGTCAGTGGTGGTTGAGGGAAGGGAAGAGTTAGTAACCGGGGCCCACTTGCGGCTGTGCGTCGATCGATGATTGGCCGTTGCGCGTGCATGAGACATCGGCAGGCTAGTAGGTACATGTACATAGTACATCAGTGTTGACGTCGCCCTTCGAGCCTCGACCGTCTTTGTCACCAGCGAGACACGGGCCCGGCCACGGCCACGGCCACGGCTGCGGACAGCGCGCATGCGGTGCAGGCAGCGGCTCTTCCCCTCAGCTCGCTCTCGAGCACCACCGCCCACCCATCAGCGCTCGACAGGCGGGCGAGCTGGTCCCGATGTGGCAGCCTTTCCCTCGCCCGGACTATCTTCGCCACGTCTCAAGAAGGTTGATCAAGACGAGGCCGAAAGCCTGAAACAGAAACAGGGAATTGGGTGTTCTCTACATGGGCCCGCTGCAGACGAGAGCAGGCGTCGAACAGTCCAGCATCGACCGGCAGCACATTCCGCAGCAGCAGCTTATCGGCGCTGATATGGCCACGGATGTCGAGTCGTCCAGCGCGCAGCCGCCAGGCACAGACTTCTGGTCGATCCGGGACTGGACGTAGCGCAGTCTCACCTCTTCCCTCTCCCCATCAACGCCAACGCCACCACGTGGGAGACGCTGCGCTGGGCAGTACCAATGGTCCATGGAAACTTCGGGCCCCACGGCAAAATTACCCTATCCGCCCCTCACGCTGCCAGCATCCAGCATCCATGGGCCTGTCCGCATGCTACGCCACTACCGCGGCCAGAGCTGGTCGCTGACGCTGACGCTGACGATCCGCATTGCCAGGCATTCGGTGGCCAGCTCCTCCCACCATCGAGCGGCACCCTCAATCGGCCGACGGCTGCACGCGCGCCGCTTGCCGTGCCAGAGGTCGTCGTAGTGCCAACCACCTTGATATGCTGCAGGAACCAGAACCCTCGTCCCTGTCAGGCTCCGACTACTGCACTTGCGCCTGCTCCGTGCGCGAGCCTGCATCAGGCATCGAGCTTGCGCTTGTCTGTGACCGCATCGTGCAATTCGCCGGTCTCTGCCGAAGGTCATGGCGCACTATCGTCGCCAGCTACGAGTTATTTTAGCATCAACGTCTCGCGCTTCCGCTCGTTCATATTGCGTCCTTTTATGAAACAGAGCGTGCTGCCAATGCTTTACGCCAGACCTCAGGACACACGGATGAGTCGTCCATATAGCTGCTCATACCACCACCTAGCATAGCCTCCTTCTTGGTCACCACCACACACAACACACCATAGCTCCCCTCGCCGGATTCACTGAACGGCGACCACATCTCAGGCCTCGACAACTGCATCCGACCACTTCCACTAGTCACCAAATCACCCTGGTTCATCGCCTCCAGCTCTCCACATGACGTGCGTTCTTCCCCCAACTCCTTCCTGGCACCATTTCAACGACCATCTCCCATGGTTACCAATGAATCCTGACACGGCGTCTTCGCAACCGTCGCTGGATCGCGCACCATCGCAAGGTTATGTATCTCCAGGATCAGAGACCAGGAAATCCTCCACCAGCTCCGGGAAGAAGCGAGCATCTCGCGCAGGCACACGGAGTGTAACCACTCTATCTGCAGCTCAGCTCGAACGGAAACGTGCCAATGACAGAGAAGCCCAGCGAGCGATCCGGCAACGGACCAAAGACCATATTGATCACCTCGAAAGGACAGTGAATGACCTACGAGGAAGCCAGGAGCAGAGCGAGAAGATAGTCCATGCAACCCAACAAAGGAATCGCGAGCTCGAGGATGAGAACGCTTACCTTCGAAGTAAGCTCAACGAAGCAGGCTTTAACATGAACCTTATGGCAGACAGTAAGTAAACACAACCATCATCGTCATACATCGGCCCAGGCATCTGATGGGAAACGATAGACCAGCGTTCATCAGAATCTACCATGCTCTCAGTGCCCTCGACGTCCCCAGGAACAGCCTCCGGCTCCAGTATCCCTAGACCCGGGTCGACCTCGACACCCAGTAATCATTCCGTAACCACACAATCCTCGGGATCGCGACACGGGTCGTGGCAACATCAAGCCGGATTTGTTGGTACAGCAATGGGACTTCCCAGCGCCGCTGCAGTTGCCAATGCGCCCAACATGACCACATGGAGATCGCACGAGAGTGCTCAGAGCCTACAAACACCAGGAGGGAGCATACAGGATTCACTCCAGACCCAGACCGGCGCACCATACCACCACGGGGAATATGCAAACCCATCATCATACCAGTATGTAAGCCAGGACCAGCAGCGCCCACAGTATGAGACTGCGCCGGCGCACCAGCAGCCAAACTACCAGGCTTCGGCGGTTCAGCCGTACAATGCTTCTGCAGCGCCTCAGCCGTCGACGTACCAAACAGGTCTGACCCCGCAAAGTGAATTTCCCAGCTTGTCTGTATCCACAAGCCCAAGCACATATGCACAGCCGAGCTTTCAGCAGCCAGCGTCGTTCCAAGTGTCGCCGCTGCAGGTTCCAGCAAGCGCGACAGAGTATACTTCTCCGCACGGACAGATGCAGCCTCCACCGCTTCCTCCCAATCCCTCATTTCACCCGAGTGGCAGCGAACAGAACTACGGTCCCGGCCAAGCAGCTCCCGCAATGCAATACCGAGATGAAAATGCCAGCCGCTCCTACTCGCTCAGTCACTATTCAACAGCCTAGGCCCCGCTGTCATCCCAACCCTGCAGGATGGTTCGACGGGCATCATGCTGGCATCTGGTGCCCAACCAAACCGGACGCCTACTTGCCGAACCTCCAGTCGCCAAACGACCTTTCCGGCGATGTCAACCACGACGATGCCATGATCGACGCAATCTAACACTGGAACGCGCATCTCAAGGCTCCGCTACTACTAGGGAAGCATGGGCACGGTCCATCCGGATGGACTTACCCGTCACATTGCAGCGCCAGGATTGCATACAGCATTTTGACCTGTCTGGTATGAAACATTGTTTGCCCCAGCTCTGCACAGTAGTGTGCAGTGCCCCGCGCAGGGCACAAGCTCTCCGAACAGCCAGGTTGTCACAACGGCGACACAGAAACAGCCCGGCGGCGGCGGCGATCATGATAGTGCGCAGTTGAACTCTATCAGGGCCGGGCCTGCCCTGTACGGTCGAGTGAAGCGACACGCGGACCCGGATTGGAGGCCCCGAACATTTTCCGCTGCTAGCGCTCCCGCCGGGGATCGGGAGTGACAGGCGCGCTCCAGTCACCACCCATCAAACTTTATCCCGATCGCTGGTCCATTTCTCCACACTGCTGCCAAGCTGGCCTACCTTCCGCCACCATGAGGACTGCCCTCTCTGGTCTGTCCATTGCGACGCGACAAAGAGCATTTGCTTGCTCCTTACGATGATGAATTAGCAAGAATCACGACAGACTGCGATGTTTTTCTGCTGTACTATTATCTCCTTATGTACTATGCATTGCATCAAGATCTCGTTCTTAACGGCGTTGACATCAAGACGGCATGAGACTGAGACACAGTACCAGCTTCCACAGGCGGGGTTAATCAGATGATATTTTGCTGTCGCTATGTACTGTACTATCCAATATTCCCAAAATCAAGTTATAATCGCTACTGTAAATGAATACTCATTTCCACCATTGCCGTTCACCTCGTATGCTACATCTGGTCTAACCGAGGTGTTGCGTTCAAGTGAGATTGCACGTTTATTAATGACGTGGACGTTCTATAGAAGTTTGACACCGCAAGAAGCACGCAATAATTCCATCTTCGAAATTCAAAAGTTCGGCGCACACACTGCGGAGTTTCTATAGAGCCACGTTGGAAGCCTAGTAAACACACCGAGCCGCTCGAGCGCCACATCATGGTGGTTATTAAGGATGTTCCAGAACATACCCCCGGATTGAGAGGCATCGCACAGAGGCGTTCGCACACGATCATCAGCCTTCAGCCTTGAGCCTTCTCATCTAACAACTCTTAGGATTCTTACAAAGCTGATTGTTGCGATGAAATGAAAGAGGAAGGCGCTACTTTGAAGGAAGGAAGGAAGGAAGAAAGGAACCAAAAAAATTTCCAAAATTCTAGATTCTCGGATTCGTTGGCGTCATTGATGAAAAGGCTTCAATTGGTCAAAGTGTAGGTTTCCCCCATCATCAATGCGCTTCGATCGCACGTGTGCCGCTTTTTGGTCCTGGTACTGGTACGTTTGCGTTTTCTGGTACGGTAGCGAGCTGCCGCTCCTTCTCCTTGTTATCGGCAGCTTCGTCTGGTTTGGCACCTTGATCATGCTGCTGCTGCTGCTGCTGACGCAACAGTTCCGGGTACCACTTCTCACCCACATCCTGATGCGACTTGATTCGGTTCATGAGAGTCGCTTCTCCCAAATGGTTCCACCTTCCTTTTACGAATGTGAACTCCACATCATCTCGTCTGCCATTTTGCTCTGATAGAATCTCTCTGCGTAGGGCTCGTACGTGATCGGGAACGTTCATTGATTCAAACTTCGCGTCGTAGGATACTCCTTGAAAGAAGGGAATGGAAAATCGCGCACCAGATCCTGCGGCGGGTGAGAGCACTCTATGGGTCGTGCTTGCGCATACGCCTCCCGTCAATGCTTCGAGTCCTTGGCCAATTGCGACAACTAGAGTACCTTTGATGGGTGGACCTGGAACGAAAGATCAGCCCTGTGGTTTGAACCCTTATGCGGAGAGGATGGCTTAGTCTTGGGATGCTTGCTTACAGTCGATCCATTCACCTTGTGTATTCTGTGCCTGTAGACCTTTGTGATTCGAAGCTTGAAGGAGATACGAGGTCAACATAGAATCTTTGTGCGGTCCGACCCCCTGTCCAACGCCACTGCCATTATCGGGATACTTGACTACCTTCAGCTTGTGTTGCTGGCCTTTATCGAAGAAATTATCGAACGCATTGGCGGGCAGTTCGATAGCTTCAGCTATTAGGGATGTGAAGAAGATGGAAATATCACTCATGCGTCGCATGTAATCTTCGAACACTGGTTTGAAGTCCGGCAAGGCTTTCTCGTTTGGCCATTGATTGGGACCAAAGAGATTGTAGTACAAGGGATCTTGCTCGGTACGCAGAGCATGAGGAGTCCCCAAGTCGAGCTGCTCTCGCCAGTCTGCCTTGGACGCTGTGATTTCGTTTCCGAGCTACGTGTTTCGCCATCATCAGCACCTTGCCTTTGCCCTAGCAAGGGATGTGAAACATACACGGGAGTATCCCAAGAAGCTTGGCTCGTTCTTCATTTCAATAGCAAGCTTGTCATCTTCCGGCAGTTCGAAGAACTTGATGCCTTGCTCGCATACTCGGTCTAGTGTTTCTTGATCGATCCCAGTATTCTTGACATAAAGAAAGCCGACATTGAGTAGGGCATCGCGGAGCTGTCTGAGGAACACGGGCTTGGTGTGCTCATCCCTGGCCTCAGACAGGTCTAGGATCGGGATTTCCTTGAAGACCATTTCTTTCGCTGTCGTAGTGTGATGTGGTGGAGGAGTGTTGATGTCGTCCTCGGCGGTCTTGACGACTCGCGCGAGCGGCAGTCTGTCGCCGGAAGCAATGAACAACGCGAAACGCCCAGAGACGAGAACTAGGTAATGAGAGAGTATGCAATCACTACTGCCAGAGTGGTAGCCTTGATCACACTCACGAACACAATTGCGGCTAGTAGAAGAATCCCCATGTTTGGTCTTTCGCGATACGATGCTGCCAGGGCAGAGAGGTCAACGGCCTCTATACCGAGTGGGGTAAGCACGGAGTGAGGTGCTCGGATGACGACAGTCGCACGTGATTTGGTGATGGTTGATTTCTCGTGCAAGATTGAACCCTGTGAACAACCAGGTTGAACTTCAGCTCCAAGTACCTCTGCAGCCTACTCGCGGATGCAGCGGATGATGCGCTGTGCTGTGTTGTAGAACTACAGCGGTGTGTGCTTGCCACGCTCACGCTCGCCTCCACCACATGTATTATTATTGCGGTGTCTCAGTTAAGACAGCAGACCCAGTTCTGAGGCCACAGGCTGTCCGGCTATGCCAGATTGGCGCCAGACTTGGGCGTGGACTGCGGAGAATGCCAGTTGAACCGGTTCTTGAAGTTTGGGATCACTTCCAAGTTCCGGCATGCTGCCGATTCTTCGGGCCAGACGGTGCATCCTTGGGCAACCCGGATCCGTGATAGGTACTGCACTTGTCCTGGTACTTGGAATCCCACACATGCAACCGCTTTCTTCACTCCATGTGTCAGCTTGGGAAGAGGTCCCTGGGTTCACAGAGCCATGGGATTGCTCAAACATGAGCAATGCTGGCGCGGGTCACAGTGGCTGCGCATTGCATGATGCAGCTAACAGCGTGGTCTCGTCCATAGTCATACGACCTTCGATTTCGAGCTGCGCTACACACTACGAGCCGTTGACCGCTGAGCTGATGCCCGAGCCGCTGAGGTCACGCCATGGCAGATTGTGCCTTACCATCAAATCCGCCTCTTCTCCAACCTCATTCGTCAATGCCGTGAACAGGAGTAGCCGGGCGAGATTTATCAAAATGGCAGGTCGGCTATTACCACAAGAGCGGGCTCGTGCCGCTCACCGCACTGGCTGAGAGAGGGCACTGGGTTCCGCCAGTGGCCAGAAAGTAAAAGATGCGGCAGAAGAACAGCATGTGATCCATGTGATACCAATCCACTTCACCGCCGTAGTGAAGCAATGCCGCCCGACGGGAGGGTCCATGGATGCCGCCAGTAGGGACCTTCAGAAGCCACCAAATTGCAGGGGGCTCTCGAGGTCGGCCAACAAGGTGGATACGAAGGTTATTGCCGCTTCCTTCGAGGGCTGGTTTTCCACCCCTGCGAGTTATTAACTCGTAGGCCTACACCGTGCTTTTGAACGACTCCGTTCAAAAGCATATAACACGCTATATTAACAAATCGCAGAGGTAGTAATCCTGCCTTAACTAGAAGTAGAAGGAGGTAGAAGGGGGCTTAAACCCTGTCCGGCTTGGCTTATTAAATTAGCTTCTTACTACTACCGAATAAGCTGTGCACTGTAACCGGCGACGGTAAGGTAGAAAGTAGCTATTAGGTCTTCGAGATAGTACGAGAGGGCACTAGCTTATATATATAAAGGTCTAGTTATATAGCCGTTAGTATAATTAGAAGCTATAGGTCTACTAAGGGCTACTAAATAGAACCTAAATTCGAGGATTGATTGCAGTATATCGTCTATAGGATAAGAGCTACCTGCGGAAGCAGAAGATATCTCGGATTGTTAGTATAATAGCCCTTATTCTCGATTATAGCTACTATAGATACACCTTCTTATCCCTCTTATATTATCGACCTAGGCTCCGGCTCTTTAACTCTAGCATTTGCTATACTAGTCCACCTACTACTATAGGCACCGCCTACACCTATTCGAATAGCTCTCTAAGGTAACCCTCTTTATATAGATGTCTCTTTAATATAGCTATATCTAGTCGGAAGTCTATTGCCTACAATCTAGTCGGTTATTAACCGGCTACTATATAGTCGCTCTATGTCCGTAGCGAGCTTATTAACTAATTTAAGCTATACTAATAGTAATAGCGATAGCAGTATAGCTACTAAACAGACGCTAAATTCAACTCTACTAAGACTAGTTATTACGAGAGGTATAGACACCTCTTTAACGGCTTACCTTTAGCGGCAATAACAGGTTGTAGTTCAACAACCTGCACTAGATTCGAGTAACTCTTAGTCTTCTATTAAAGGGGTAGAACAAGGTATAGAAGACGACTATAATCGAGTTAATAGCGATAGTAAGATCTCCGACGACTTTGCCTTACTAATTATTAAGCACTTCGAGGCTAATTCTAGCTATTATATAGAAGGTCGAATAAGAGATATAATAAAGCGCTGTTAGAAGTAGTATAACGACAATCGACCTGCTAGACAACGTACTATTAGAGGCATAGACGGCCTTATTCGCAGGTAGATTGCAAAGCGTGTCCTCGAGTATAGAGCCCTTCTTACTGCTTCCGGTATAGTTATTGTTAACGACTCCGAGTTTAAACAGATACTTAATCGCTTTAAGGACACTGTATTATATAACAATAAGAAGCTCCGCGAGAAGCTACTAACTACTAACAAGTTACGTGCTTACGAGACTCCGGCTTAGTAGGTATAGGACAATATGCTCCGTATTATATCGTAGCGGCTTTAGGATCTAGTAGTTGCAAGTCTATCGACACCGAGTCTAGTTATTATAGCTCTATTACCTTTAACTCTATTACTAAATCCGGCTCTTTCTAGTACGCCTAATGCTCTAGCTGCGACGCTATATATAACGCGCCGTCGGTTAGATATCGATAGTAAGAAACAGCTAAATAAGGAGAGGTCGTTAAGCCGAGTATTAGAGCTATTTCGAGAGGCAATTACTACGTTAGCAAACTAGCTAAGAACTGACTATTCCGAGGCAACAAACAACTACTACTTAATCCGCCGAATAGACGACTTAGACAACCGCTCTAAGAAGCGTATAAAGCTAATATACGCGTCTATAGTACGTTAATTCAATAAGCTTAGAGCCCTTCTTGTCGGCCGTGTTAGACATATTCCTCTCGTTCCTTCGTAGTTGTCGTAGGTTACCGACTTTAGCTTAGACGACAACCTCGTTGCTAACGTTCTTATACCGATAGGAGATGGTAACGAGGGCTACGATAGCGATGGAACTGTCTCGTAGGTGTTAGAAGCGTTAGATATTAGAGATTGATAGCCGTTAGTACGTAGATATTCGCGTTATCGAGATGCTAGACTTAAGCGAAGAGGATTAAATCGAGCGTACTCTATATAGCGTTCTAAATGCTCGTTGGTTCTAGAATTAGTAAGAAACTTAGTAGGGATGCGAATTCTTTAGTATAGTTGTTACTGCCTTCGATACTATTAGTTATAATACTAGTTACTAAGATTGAATTTCGACTATGTCTAGAAATTTGTATAACCCCCGCTATTCTCTACCCTCGTCTATTGCTAGGATACTTAGAAGCAATTTATATAGCTATAACTATAGTAAAAGGGCTATCCGAAGCTCTTCCGTATCTACTCCGAAGATTAGGAGAGAGAACGCGGAAGAGCGGAAGAGGGAGACATTATCTAATAATCTATAATCTATTACTATTCTTTATCGCTATCGTTAACAACTACGTCCCCTATATCTTCTATATCGCTTCTAACCTCTAATCTATTACTAGAAGGGTTTATACGCATTAGATCTAGCACCTCTACGTCTACCGGCGGCATAGGTAGCAGCTTAGCACCTAAGTAATCCCTAATATCCGGACACCTTAAACTATAGTGCGCGGCGACCTTGTTTCTACGATAACAAGACAGGCAGTTAGTAAGTAATACTGCGACTAGATAATAGGACTCTATCGGTATTAAACTAGTACGTAACCCCTTCTTATATTCGAAGAATAGCTAGCTATTAGTTACCTTACTAAACCCCTATTCGACTAACTGCCGTAGTGCTAACTATTCCTTCGAGACCTGCGCTATTATAGCGTTACGATAACCCCCTCTCTTCGATTTCTACAACCCGATAATACTATCTACCTGTCCGTATATAGAGTCGCCGAATATAAAGAGCTTATTATCTATAATATTATTATTAAATAGGTTATGCTATACCTAGTTGATCCCCGACTCGCGCACTATTCGGCTATTACTATAAGAGCTAGGATAGGGACTATTAATAAGCAGCATTCTATCCGGCAGCTATATACCTTAGAATTTAATGCTATAGAAGTGCTTATAGCCGTTATAGAATACCCGCTAGTTACGAGAAGGTCTCGCAATCTTCCTTATAGTACTATTAATGTATCCGAATACACTAGACACTCTAACTAATAGATACAGCGACTCTACTAGGCTCCGGAGATATTGCTTACTAAGCCGCCTCTTATCGAAGAATAAGAACGACTTCTACCTTAGCGCGAGGCTATATACTACCGCATTAAACATATAACTTAACGTCGTAGTAGAATAGCTAAACTTCTTATCTAGGTCCTTCTAGAAGCCTAGACTAGACAGTCGCTTGCAGACTATATAAAGCACCGTTATAGGAGGCAATTTGAGTCTAACTAGTAACACGATTGAACTAATATCTAGTAGGTCTACTAATTCTACTAATTTAGCCCTTATAAAGCGGAAGTCGCCCTTAATATTAGCCTCTAGATAACTAAAGAGGTCGAAGCGCTGTTTGGTGTAGACTCTCGCTAGTTTAAATAGCCGGTTACGCCTCGACTAGCGGTGCTAGTATTTACGGATAGACTCGCCTTCTCGTTATAACTAGCGCTCCTTATTACTACTGTCTTCCTCGAGGTATTTACTCGCAATAATAACGGCTATTATAGTAACTATAGTAGTTACAATAGCTTCATTTTCTATAGTTGTCTATAGCTAAAGTCTATACCCCTAGAAGGTCTATAAGGTCTGCAAATAGGGGCTCTTTACTACGCTAAACTACATTTAATTACATGCTAACTAGCCTCTTCTAAAGGTCCGTAAAAAGCGCCACATTAATCCTTCACCTAACGGTCACAAGCTAGCG